GTCCGTCCGTCCCCTTTCAATACTTTAACGAAGTGAAATCTCGTGCTGTTGGGTGTAAAATCAGCAATAGACAGCGCAGAGACTTGATATGTCTTATTGCACCCAACATTTGGAAGTCACATTATCTCATTTTAATTTTACGTAACAATGTCATAAAATTGCGCAAAATTCCAATGTTCCTACCAGCCCACCCTGCAGGGACCTGTTTTAAACAAAAAAAAAACTTGTTTAGCCTCTGATACAATATCCCACTTTGTACTTTTGTAGTGACTGACTCAGAGACACTAAGAGTAGGAGGCACTCTGTTTATAAACAGCCTTCACAGTCCACACAAAGTAACTACAGCTCTCAGTCAGGACAGCTGGCAGACTGCCTGACTGACGACGCCGAGTCGGTGAAGACGCGGACGGCAGAGAAGACTCCAGCAGCACGACGATGGGTTCCCACTCCAGGCGACAGCCCCAAGCTCCTGCTCGGGGTCCCCTTTTATCCTCCCAGCGTGGCCTCGCTCCGCCCGGGCCACGCCCCCTTTCTAGAACCTACTAGCGGGTTCCCGGGCTTCCCTCACGTGCCCCCTCTGTAACCTATATCCTACATCCCTCTCTCTCTCTCTGGTTTATCACGTGACCTGCTGTCAGTCCGGGTTGCTGCAACTGCAGATCCCCTTCTCTGCCAGCAAACAGCGCTATGCCACGTAGCGACCAATTCTATGTCACTACACTTTCACCAACAAGTCTGCGTACCGTCTCCTAGCGGTATCTTCTACACAGGAACTCCTCCGCTTATCCGTGGTGATGATGGGGGTGGGGTTAACGAGACCAAATATCGCAGATCCTTTTAATATGCAGGGTGTATCCGCTATTTGATTGCTATCCGCGGGTAAGAAATAAATATCGTGGATAACCCCCCCGCGGTTAATCGGGAGGAATAGGGCCACGAGTAACGTGAGCTTTTGCCAACATTACAGCTACCGCAGGTAATGAGTCGCAGATGATGAGTCGCAGGGAACAGGGTCACGGATAATACAAGTCGCGGATACTAAGAGTCGCGGATAATAGGAGTTGCAGGTAACAGGGTCGCGAATAACAGGAGTCGCAGGTAATAGGGCCGTGGATAATAGGAGTTACAGCCAATAGGGCCGCGGATATGAGGTGTTCTCTGCTGTAAAGCGCTGAACGGTATTCTCCGGATTTATAAAGATGCACTTTCCTCCCCTGCGCGTTTTATAATCCTGTAGGTGTCCGAGAATTTTAGAACCGTATTGACCGGTTCTAAAACGAGAAGGTGCGTCCTACTTCGTGAAGCGTCTTGTAATAAGATACATTCCCCAAATCGTAAACAAAACAGCCTACCTGTGAATTTACGCTTGTGGGCAGCAGACCGCAGTGCATCAAACATCCACTGTTGTATCGAACTCTGCAACGATATTTGCCATCACGCCAACGCTCCCACAGCGTTGTTGTTGTTGTTGATTTGTTTTCGTCCACAAGAACCAGCGTGGTGAAGCATGGTCAAATAACTCTCAAGGAACCGCACGTGCGCCTGGAGGCCCGTCAGCTCAAGGGCTGCCTACATGTACACACGCACAGTCATTTTCGGTAACACAAATACCAGACAGCTCGAATCCTTCGACATTTAGAATGGGTCCAATTACTTTTTCTTTAAATCCGACAGTGAAATGAGGCTCCATCAGCTGTTATTACCTAGACAATGCAGTGGACTGTATTCGCTTTTATAACAAAAGCTTCAACTTCAAATCCGAGTCTGCGGGCAGAGGCGCCCTTCAAAAAGAACATCTCAGCTGAATGGGCTTTGCTTAAAAAAAATACAAAAAAACCTTCCGATTATTTTAAGATTACGTTTGCCGAGGATCGGTGACACAATCTGCTCGCATTTCTATCCTTCTGCCCAACTACTGTTGGGATTTGGGAACGGAATCCCGACAGCACACGGACCGTGATGATGACTTACCCTGAACTGCACGCGTTGTTGTTGATTTGTTTTGTCCGAGCGTGTCGGTTGCAGCGAAGAACTGCGTTTGACATTTGCTGCACGGCTGTATGGCACGGGGGAGTTGATCAGCGACGTGTTTATATACTCTGTTCTTGTCGAGGTTGGTGAGTGAATGAGCGAGTGGTGGTAATGGCGAGACGAGCAGCTCGGTGAATATCTTGAAATTCTGCTACCAATTGATCAAAGACCGGGCCTTAAAGTTAAAAGCCCTACCAGAAATACTCCTCCAATGCTCCTCGCTGGAGATCACCACCTCTATAAACATCCTGCCAGCAAAGAGGATTAACCTCTCAAGCAACGTCCTTATTAGCGTTTTAACCCGACGGAAATGCCAATGTGCTTTAACTTCATTGTTGTATCCACCATGCACGTCATTTGGTGCACGTACAGCCTCAATCACTTAGAGGAATATTTTTTATCTCGACGTTACAAACAAGTTGAGAGATTGATTTTGGTATTGGAATCAGTATAACAATGAAACCAATTATGCAAATCGTGGGCGACCGTTGTGTTCCAATTAAGTTGTGGAATAATGGGAACTAATTTATTTGTAAATGTATTATGACTGCATCACATGATGGTAAACGTGGGTGGGTAATCACTTTAAGATGTTTTCTTGTTCATGTTTTTGGTTTTTGTGCGTTGCGGTTGCACCCGATTCAAGAGCCGAATGGCTCACAGGGCTATACCAAATAAATGAAACTGAAACTACGACCCGAGTAGCTTAATGAGCAAGGAAAATTTGCTTGCCCAGCATAAACAGGGAAGATGCACGTAGGATCCGTATACACACGTGCATGCTCAATGGCTTGTGCAGTTAACCACTTACAGCGGACACATGAGCCGAGAGATAAACGATCAGGAACCCATGATCTTTCAAGAATAAAGATCCCCCGTATAGCCTGAACAGACTATTGGGTAAAGTGCTGTCGGCTAGCCCCTTTGAAGGCCGGCACGGTAAACGAGGGGGATAGGTGGCAAGCACCACGCCCGACCACCTTTGTCTCCCCTGGGGCTATGATTTACACACCGCACCAGGTACTCATTTTAGGCCGAGTCGACCGAGGGGAAGCCCAGTACCGGTTCAGATCATTAATCATCACTGGTGCTGGCCATGAGCGGGTATCGGACCAGTGTCGCGCAGCACGCTAACCGCTCCCCGATATATACAGAACAAAGATCCTCCGTATATACACATGCACACATGCACCTTAACACTGCAATATGTTCGTTTTATTTTTTAAACCGACTTGATTCAACTGAAACGTGGTTAGGGGGCAAAACATGAGGAACACACGGAGCCCAACATGCAACCAACCGTATGGAACACATTAGCCACGTGTTACACTTTTAAGATCCCTGATCGAGCGTTTTTAGCATCTTGCACAAGCCGCATTGACGGATTGGAATACGTTTTAAGGCTAAACGATTGAAAATGGCACGGACATCATCCCAGTAAGCTAGCCTTGCGTAATGGCCATTACGTTCCAGGAGCTAAATGCCAATGTGGAGGTCTGCTGGCCATGACAAGGGTGAACAGTTCGTGTCGTTTTGCTATTCCAATTTACTGGTGAAACGTCGTACCCCATTGTAAATGTTATGTATTTGCTCTCCAACTCACCAGTGTACAGTACTAGTAACGAATTGGCACGTTGTTTACGTGACAAACCTTACCTAATAGGCTGTGTCGGGTGGTTGCGGGTTTAACGACACATTTATATTTAAGCGATCTAACCCAAAAAGCCTATATTATGAATATTGGTTGCGAAAGTCTCCTACATGTTAAACTCGAAACTCCTCCTCCGTTCAAGGAGCGCAGACTCCAGTGAAGTGGTTTTACTGTATGGTCCACAGATTGGGTTGCACGACCACAATTCCACAGTGGCTGGTGTCTTTCGCAAGCAACTAATTTATAGGTTTGCATAAACAGGAATAAGATGTAATAAAATAACCTTTACATTTAAAGCACTGTATCATAAGTCCTTTAAAAGGTACCCAGGTCGCCTTACTGTTATGATTATGTTAACAGTAATTCTGATTGTATTGAAAAAGCAAATATTGCTTTTAAACAATGGAAATGTTAATACAACAAAGAGGTAAAAGATACAATTATTTTTTAAGAAACTAACCATTTTCATGCCATATCACGTTGTGCCACATTTTATCCAATATACTAAATTAAATATTGCACCTGGACAGGTCTTCAACCAGCAATGAAATGACTTTAAATCAGTTTGTATTTTATAACACTGGGTATAAAGTAAAATTAGTACCAAAGGAATCAAAACCGTCCTGTTTAAATTAACGCTACGATATCCACTCCTGGGATTACGGGTTCATTAAACAAATTAACTCTACTTAGAAAATGCAAAGCGGATGCAAAACAAGCCTAGTAAAGAATTAAAGCTTTCGTGACTGCATAAATTACTCATTGTTTTTTTCGGTAAAGTCACGTATGTAGTAAAATTATATTTAAATAAATCAATCACGACGTTTCGACCGCAACACAAACGATCTTCATCAGGTGTAAAAAAAACAAATAGCACATAGGGTGACATTAACGCAACATCTACTGCATATTTTAAGCCTCTGTCTGTTCATCCCTCTGGCCTTTTCCTGCTTCTCTGTCCGTCTTTCCTCTTCTTACCTCTCGTGTCGCTGTATATGTTTTTCTGCTATCTTACACCTCGTTTTTGTTCACTTTGTCTATGCTGGTATGTTCAACCCAGAGGATGAACACGAAATTTAGCACTCTTCTGAAATTCGTGGTCTGCCAGGCAAGTGTCTGACTGTCGTTGGCCGACTGGCTTTGCATCACGTACATTTTTCTTAGGTTTGTTGAATTCTCGTCTCCCATCTTCTTGTTGTATTTACCTCCGTGCAGTTTAACGCTCTCTACGTGTTGCGTTGATGTCACCCTATGTGCTATTTGTTTTTTACACCTGATGAAGATCGCTTGTGCTGCGGTCGAAACGTCGTGATTGATTTATTTGAATATAATTTTACTACATACGTGACTTTACCGAAAAAAAAAACAATGAGTAACAAGCTTAGTTTTTTTTTTTTGCGAACGCTGCACACATCAATATTCAGCGGGAGGGAGTGCACGTGCGTGCTCCTGCAAAAAGGCACTTTTGTATATTCAATAGCAGGCGGGGGCGGTGGCCTTCTCGGCGTAGAACAGGCCCCACTTTTGGTCGCCCAGCTCACACCGGTAGAGTTTCTCCTGCCAGCCCTTGACGATGTAGTCGTAGTCATCTTGTGAGAATTCCTGCGGCGACACCCAAGGGAGAGAGCACGTTTGGTTCGTTCTCTCGTCCATCTTTGCAAAAATAAAATCCCTCAAAGGGCATAAAAGTCCCGTGAGCCTGAGCACAAGAGGCAAATATTACATATTAAGTTATGAATGTGCCAAATATTGATTCCAGTTTTTTTTTAAATATATGGCATATAATATACATTGTGATAATATACTTATATAAGATAAGGTTACTGTAGAATTTACTTTTATTGCCTCTATAAAGATGTTGGTATTATTGCTCAAGGTTTGCCATCACTGATGTCAGCAATGGTTGGAAATCGATGGCGACCCGCACGTGAGCTGGTGTGAGTGTGAGTGGGTCTGAGAGTGTGTCTGAGAATGTGATTGTGTCTAAGTAGGTGAATGTCTGAGAGTGTGAGGGTGTCTGAGAGAGTGTAAGGTAATAATGTTCTCATGGAACATTCTTAATCTATAAGTAAATTAAACGTAAATTTTGATTTAAAGCTTTCGTGACTGCAGTAATTCATATTCTTAGTTTTTTCGGTAAAGTCACGTTGAAGAGAAACAACAAAATAATAAAATATATATAAAACAATAAAAAAAATTCTCACGACGTTTCGACCATAACTCAAACGGTCATCTTCACACCTGAAGATGACCGTTTGATCTTCACACCTGAAGATGACCGTTTGAGTTATGGTCGAAACGTCGTGAGAATTTTTTTATTGTTTTATATATACTTTATTATTTTGTTGTTTCTCTTCAACGTGACTTTACCGAAAAAACTAAGAATATAAATTAAACGTAATTGAGGATTCAGGCTTTGCCTAGAAACAGGTTAGTAGGCCTCAAGCCTTAGGCCTAACGGTTTAAACTTTAATTTGGTTACTCGACTAAGGTGTTTAATAACTTAACAATTTCAGAGATCGTTAGATGGCAGATCTCCAGTCACCCCTATATCTGTCAGTGCATTTTTAACTCATTTGAGGATTAATTCTCACGCCGCAGGCTTCGTCTAATAACAGGTTATTAGGCCTCAGGCCTAAAGATTTAAACTTTAATTTAGTTCCCCATCTAAGGTATTTCATAACTTAATTTTACAGTACAGAGGTCCTTCGATGGGAAATTATCAGTCACCTCTTAATCTATAAGTATTTTAAAAACAAATTCAGGATCAATTATCTTGCCGCAGGCTTCATCTAGTACCAGATTAGTAGGCCTAAATGTATAAACTTTTAATTTGTTTACTCATAACTTAACAATTTTTACCGAGATCCATAAATTGCAGATTATAAGTCACCCCTTAATCTATAAGAAATTATGTTAAATGTAATTTGGGGATAAATTATCTGTCATGTTATCGTGGTTATGGCTGTTCATAAATGTTGCAGAGGTAAAGGTGCAGTCCTGCAACTGCCGGCTCATGCCGCCACGAGAGGAAGCTCTCGAAAGCCTGATGAGATCTTCCTCAAATCACTACTGTGTTGACGTATAGCACATAATATGCTCTCGGCCTTCATGGGGTAAACCAACAAGGTAACATGATTACACTCAACTTGGATATGAAGGAACAAGACATTGTGACTTCAATAAACAGCTCATAAGATCTGTGGCTATCACATGCAGTATTTTTTTTTATAGAGCGTCATTCATGCGAATAGAAATCCCACAACGCAGTATGTTTGAGCTGCTGCTCCCCGGGTCTGCCTGAGCTGGTCCCGGGGTCTACCTGAGCTGGTCCTGGGGTCTGCCCGAGCTGCTGCTCCCTATGTCTACCTGAGCTGCTGCTCCCTGTGTCTACCTGAGCTGCTCTCTTGGTCTACCTGAGCTGCTGCTCCCTGGGTTTGCCCGAGCTGCTGCTTCCTGGGCTGCTGCTTCCTGGGCCTGCCTGAGCTGCTCCCTGGGTCTGCCTGAGCTGCTGCTTCCGGGGCCTGCCTGAGCTACTGCGCCCCGTGGCTGCCTGAGCTGCTCCCTGCATCTGCCCGAGCTGCTGCTCCCTAGAACTGCCCGAGCTGCAGCTCCCTGGGTCTACCAAAGCTACTGCTCCACGGGTCTGTCTGTGCTGCTGCCCCCTGCAGCTGCCTGAGCTGCTCCATGGGTCTACCAAAGCTACTGCTCCACGGGTCTGTCTGTACTGCTGCTCCCTGCAGCTGCTTGAGCTGCTCCATGGGTCTACCAGAGCTGCTGCTCCCTGGGCCTGCCTGAGCTACTGCTCTCTGGGCCTGCCTGAGCTACTGCTCCCTGGGCCTGCCTGAGCTGCTGCTCCTTGGGTCTGCCTTAATCTGCTGCTGCCTGGTTTGCTCAGAAACACTCTCCGTTATCAAGGAGCCGAAGCTTCTGCAGGAAGCCCTCGACCGTCTTAACCTGCTCCTTGAGGTTTTTACCCTTCACCTGCTTGATCAGGTTATTGCCCTGTTCACAAAGATGCTCCTTGAAAAAAAAGAGTGTTAGGTCACATGCACGCTAGCGTAGAGAAATAGCAATGCACCAAGGTGTGCTTACAAACAGCAAGAACTTGAACGGCTAGTCAACTTCGTGACCTGGAGCTGACCACCACCACAAACTCAAGCACACGGGCGAGAAGCCGTGCATGTGCGACGAGTGCGGCAAGACATTACTCGCGCTCGGCCTACCTGTACATTTTTCACTTGTGTGTTTAGCTGTTGTGGATGTTTGTTATCTTAAAGATGGCAATTCTCCTGCTGTGTATGATACTACTGTCGTTCCCGGCCATATCAAGTGCCACACTCAACTCTACAAACGGCTACCCTCGTTACTTTGCGTCCATACTTGTTGCTCGATTTGCCACTACACCTGCAAATGAAACGGCTCATAGACACTTCTACACTCCATCATTGTATCCTTTTAAACCCTATCTTTGTCCCATTACTTCACCAGCACTCCTTCCAAACTTCATTCTGCTCTTAAAAATAACACCATCTGCGAGCTGCTGCTATTCGTCCAAGGTTCACCGCTCTTCATCCTTTCACAGAAAATACTTGTGCAAACTATTAATTCTACTTTTCTTATTTCTGGGTGGTATTGAGCTTCATCCTGGCCCAAATATAAAGAACTCGTATAATTCTGTAGATTTTTCTGGCAGGAAAGGTGTTGGTGTTCTACATGTCAACATCAGAGGGCTTGTGATTAAATTAAGTCAACTAAAACTAGAAGTGGCAAATCTTGACCCGGACATTTTTTGCCTAACAGAAACATTTCTTACTCCTGCCGTCAATGACTTGCAGATTACGATTGACAACTACAACCTTTTTCGGCTTGACCAAGGATCTAAAGGAGGTGGAATTGCCATCTATGTTCGTAATACTATTGCATGTTCACCAGCTCACTCCTTGTTTAAAAAATGTTGCTTTGAAGGTTTGGCTCTCAGAATAACTCTTCCAAATAATCAACAGATATTGGTAGTGTGCTGCTATAGACCGCCTAGTGGGAAGGATGTTGAAGCTGCATCTGCACTGAGAGAGCTTCTTGGGGGCCTCCCTAAAGGTGAAATAGTTTGTGGGTTATCTAAATTGGAATTGGCTAAACCCGCCGGCCGTGGCCACAAATTTTACAGATGAATTTAACCTGTCTCAATAAATGTCCCCACAAGACCCAACCTAAAAAATCCGGGACAGTCATCTCTGCTTGACGTCCTATTGACAAATGCCCCTCACAATTTCACACTGACTGGTGTTCTGGGTAATAACCTTAGGATCACTCCTTCATTTTTGGTGTGAGATCATCAGCCAGACCCAAAGCCCCCCCTAAATTGGTTGAGAAGCACTCTATGAGACACTTCAGCACTCAAGCATTTACTAATGATGTGCTTCACTCGGATATTGACAAGGTCTGTGATATCCCCAACCTGACTAAGGCTTGGGAGACCTTCAGGTACACGTTTCTCAAATTCTTACCAAACATGCTCCGTTGGTTAGATTTAAAACTAAAGGCAACTGCCCACCATGGTTTGATCCTTTGATTACAAAGCTCATGAAAACTAGGGACAAGGCTTGGGCATGTGCTCAGAAAAGTAATTTGGTCAATGACTGGCTAGAATACAGGATTTTAAGGAATAGATGCGTCAAAAAAGATACGGCATGCAAAAAATGCCTATTTTTCCTCCACTCTACTGGAATCACATGGAATGCCAGGATTTTCTGGAAAACAATCAAATGTATCGAAAAGGCATCCAAAACAGACAACCTGCCCGTTGAGCTTAACCAAAATGGGGAATATTTTTCAGATCCCAAAAAAATAGTTGACAATTTTAACCTTCATTTTTTTGAAGCTGGTAATTTTTTTGATAATGTATTGGGAGTCACCCCTGCTCATGCAAATTCCTACACCCCTGTCCAAACATTAAACGAATTTAGTTTCCACCCAATCCACGAAAGTAGTGTTCTGAAACAACTGTCCTACCTCAAAGGGTCCTCCTCTACCGGAGCAGATGGTATTCCTGTCTTTGCTCTACTAACTTTTGGTCACCTAATATACAAACCTATAGCCCATATTTTCAACCTGTCCATCAAAGAAGCATCACTTCCTCTAGAATGGAAACATTCCTATGTCCGTCCACTTCACAAAGGGGGCCCTAAAGATGATCCAAATAACTACCGACCTATCTCAATTTTGTCCCCGTTGATCAAAATTTTTTAAAAATTATTGACCGAACAAATTAGCAGTTTCCTGTCCACCAACAATCTACTAAATCTAAAACAATCTGGGTTCCGAAAAAAATACAGCACCACATCTGCTGCATTAGACTCTCTGAATCACATTTACAGTAGCCTTGATAATAAGCAGTATTGTGCCTGTATTTTTCTAGACCTGTCCAAAGCTTTTGATACAGTAGACCACAACACCCTGCTTAGTAAACTAAGTTGCCTCGGTTTTTCCAAAAACGCAGTGAAATGGTTACAAAATTACCTCTTTTCTCGCACCCAAACTGTATTCACAGATGGTTGGAGGTCAAACAGTGTTAAGATAACAAAAGGGGTTCCACAGGGTTTCATCCTTGGCCCTTTTGTTCTCTCTTTATGTCAATGACTTGGGCACTGACCTGGATCATTCCAGGGTAAATCTTTTTGCAGATGACACGATACTGATTACTACTGGCTGCTCTCCGGATGACGTGATTGCTAAGCTACAGGGTGATTTCAACAAACTACAACATCAGCTAGTTGCTCTTAAACTAGTCCTGAATACCTCCAAAACCAAGGTGCTATGCTTCTCACCAGGACTAAAGCAGGAAGTTATTTTTCCCCAATTACATTCCTTAAATAATTGTCAAATAGAGCAAGTCAAGATCTATAAGTATCTTGGGGTCATCCTGGATTCAAAACTGAATTTTGAACATCACATTGATTATATTGGTAAAAAGACAAAAATTTAAATTGGTTTTCTGTATCGACACAAGCACTGCTTCCCCCCCAATGTACCCGTTTGGAATTGATAAAAGCTACCATACTGCCTCTACTTGACTACTGTGACATCATGTATAAATCAGCCCCAAGTACTGTACTGAAGAAGCTTGATTCCATCTATCACTCGGCCTTGAGATTTACATTGAACTGCCCATATAGGACTCACCACTGTGATCTCTACATTGGGTCAAACTTAACATGTCTTAATGTTCGACGGCTTGTGCACCAGATCTTATTTATTCACGATGTACTTACAAAAAAATCCGCAGACTACCTGCTGGATCTCCTCTCTGTTTCAAAGAACAAATTTGACCTCAGGTCTTCGCTCATTTACCAGCTTCACATTCCCTATTGCTGTACAAAAACTGGAGGAAGGGCCTTTGCTATTGATGCCCCCAGAGTCTGGAATGCTATTGCCAATAAACTGTAACTTGAATCGCTACCAATGAGATCTTCTCTCAAAACTGCTCTAGAGGAGTTGTACACCCCTCGCTGCCACTGCTATTCATTGGCGTAAAATAAAATGTTTCGCTCTGGATGACGCTGCAAAGTATTATCTCTATTTTGATTTAGCGTGCTGATCTTAAAGGTGCATTTGAAAAATTTGATACTCCGACTGATGCTTCTGTTGTTGTGGAGTAACTCATGCAGCCAGCTATGGCTCCAGGGTTTGGTGTTACATGTTATTTAAGTAGTTTATTGTAAAAATTCGGTCACAGTCCTTGTGATCACTGTTACGTTGCAATTATGGCTTTATTTTTTTTATTTGAAAACGTTTTTTTTGTTGTAGTACGGAGTTAGACTGATGGCCTTAATCTAAGTTTTTGTCGTTGTTGTTTGACTTGCATCCCACTGGGATTTTTTGCACACAGCGTTGGTGTACGGTGCTTTTTTCAGGAATATTTTTGCTGTTTTTTCCATGGATTTTCTGTTTGCACAGTCACATAGTCACTTCAAGATGTTTTTCTTGTTCGTGTTTTTGTTTTTTTGTTTGTTGTGGTTGCACCCGATTCAAGAGCTGGATGGCTCACAGGGCTATACCAAAATAAACTGAAAACTGAAAATCTGAGGTGCTAACGACAAATACAATATTTAGTCTTTGGCCCATGGACCATTATAACAATTCACCCCACCCCAGGGATTCTATGAAATGTCACGATTCAACATCACAATTTGAGTCGAGAATTGGTTCTCCAGATTTTTTGTCTGGATGGGTACAGATGTTCTTGCTTCGACACAATAAAAGTTCCTCATGGAATTTTTTTGATTCATGACATGATGTGATAGCACTTTTGAAATTGAAAGAAAAGTATACGTAAATTTTTTTTAATTTTAGATAGCGCCGTTCATGCATATTGCATCTCACATTCGCTGAGGAACCACAGACACGAGCTGGAAAGCTGCCAGACAGTTATCCGGCGACAACAATTGCTCTGCAGCTCTCTAAATATATTAAGATGTTTTCAGTCAATTAGTGTGTATTATACATGTGCGAGGGGGCAAAGCTCTATCCCATACAGAAGGGACAGATTATACCAGTCCACACTTTGCTGTATTGCATTCTGCTGGCGAGCCAGGGTACGGAAGTGCCGTACCCTGGCTTGCCAACCCTCGCTGCTGCTTCCAGTGCTGAACTACAGGCAGCCACCTGCATAGCCACCACCACCACTAGGGAATAAGTCAACTGGGGGGGGGGGAAAGAAAAAAAATAAACTTTAACTGTGCCCAGATGCACGTGGCTTGTACCTTCACAAACTCGTCCTTGACGAGCTCTGTGCGAGCCACCTCCTGTTTGGCCACCTCGATGAAGTGGTTTGTTCTGTCCTCCGCCTTCACACGCACAAACCCTGCCGCCTCCAGGAACTGAAAGAGCCCAACCCAAACACAGGAATACAGCTCGCCTCATCAAACGTTTTAAAAGTTTAGATATATTTTGGTATCTCTATGTCCTAGTGCCATGAACAAATGACATTGAAATTATGTTGCACATCATCACAATATGAACAATCCAAGTGTGGTCTTCTGGGCCAGGCAGTGTGCTAGACACATCTTGTAAGCTTTCACAACACAAGACTGCATCTTCAGTTCAATTACTGTAGACGCCTTCAGAAGTGTGGCAAGAGAAGAAATACTCAAGACGTGGCCTAACCTAGAAGACCAGGCTTAGACGACGAGTGGGGGTGCGGAAATCTAAGTGCCGTTTGAATGATGTTGCACAAAAACAAAGTACATCCGTGCAAAAATTAAACGTGTTGGTGGATACCCCCACCTTGCCATACTGAGAGACTTCGTACAAAATGTATCCACGGTCCTTCACGTAAGCCTCAAACAAACCAGACCAAGGCTTGGCACCGCAGCAGTAGTCGGTTATGAGCAACTTGCCTCCAGGCTTCAACCAAGCCTGCATGCGGATACCCACACGACAAAAAACACCGCAAATTTTAACAGTATGGAAATCTTACCGATAATTAAAGCATTTTTCGGATTAGCAACTGTAGACGCCACAGCTGTGGCAGCTCGTTGACTGTAACATGAATATGGAATTGACACACCAAGTGGCTCAACGGTAGTGCGAGCGGGTCCGCTATTGTATAGTTGCGAGTTCAAATGCTGGTTGTGGCCATGGGTTCACTCGGCACATCATCCCTCCGGTATAATTAGAGGAGCACTTTGATGTTGTCTTATGGATGTCAAGAGTGGTTGTTCTGTGGACTCACTCCCATCACAGCAAATTGGAATTTACACCACTGGCTTAGGGCTGTAAACAGCAGAGCGGCACCTCAATGCTCATTTGAGCGGAGAATCACTTTGTAAAGGACACGGGCCTCACGTTCTCAAGAATCACAGGGCACATGCAATTCAAACGACAAAGCAGTTAATTTGTCGATTAGTAAGTTGGCACAGCAGTCACACCAGTAATGGTTCTACTGGTTTCGGGCTTAATTTGATAGGAACATTCATAGGAAAAATATTTCTTGGAGCTGCTCTTTACACACCCTCTGTTGATCTTTCAAGGTAGTGCATTTCCTCCGCTGAAGCCTTACCTACAACCTTCGTGACCTGATTGTTTGATGTTACTACCGAGCAAGTGTTTGCAGTCCTACTGTACTGCACAGCTCTCCCCAAATGTTTTCGATTGTACCGCGTGTCATCCGGCATGATGTCCAACGTTTCGTTCCACGTAATGGTGGCTTTTTCAGAAACTAAATTCAGTTCGAAAGAACGATACGTGGTACAACCCGATAAAAACATAGGATGGCTCGAGGTCGATATTGTACACAACTCTTCATTGTTATCGCCCAGCTATTTTTTTTGTACTATTTTTCCTTTCTACCAGGTAAGGCCCACTGAGCTATGTAGCTCTTCTTCAGAAGCGATCTGGTTATCACAAATGATCGCTCAACTAAAGTAGCTTATCATCATGTTGAAATTTATAGCAGCCAAATACCCCAAAACGGATGTTGATTCGAAATGTGTAGGGAAAAACCAGAGGACCTGGACAAAAATCCATGCGACCACAGGAAGAGACAGAGAGACATGCAAACTCCAAATATATAGGCGCCTGGGTCGGGATCAAACCCATGACCTCTTGTACACCTGGCAAGGTAGTTAACATCTGGCCATCGTGGCGCCCGCAGCGGCGAGCTATTCGGTCTGAGAGCACAACTGTGTGTGCTCTTTTACTGCGGCAGGCCACATCGCTTACATAAAAACTCTTGAAGAGTGCCACTTTGTCGGCGATGTGGAGGATGGTGTCTCGGCTATAAACCACGTCGAACGAATTTTCTGGGAACACGCGCTTGGTGGCGTCGCTGATCTCAAACTGCACCTGTGCGAGAAGGAAAAGGTTTAAAACTTTTGAAGACAAATTAGTCACAAATCAGTGCTTTGCAGGGGTGTGCCTGGTGAGTGCTCGGATAGGTGAACACTGCGCGCTGCCGGCTGGTGTGACGGGGCTTGCAGGGCAATGTGTTGCTTATGCACTGCGGCAAAATCCATTGTTGTATTCTACTTCTATGCGCACACGTTTATCCTCGCCGTGTCAATTACTCTCAAATCACCCCTGCGACCTGCACGGTGGTGGGGATGCACGAGGTATCTACAATATACCCTGTTTACCTGGGGTGAGTTTCGGATTTAAATATATTTCGGACATTGAAGGTCAAGTTCAGATCAGTTACAACTTTTCGTATCATTTACATTCCAGACTGTGATGAACTGTCTTGTTAACAGCAGCGATGTCACCCGATGCCATGCGACACCACTTTTGGGGGTGGAGGGAGGAGGGGTGGCAGCGTGGAAGTGGCATCATATTAGTGACATGACTTCCAGTTTTCAGATCAGTTCTCACCAAAGTGTTTCCAGATCACCTGAAATTTCGTATCCAGGCCTGATAAAAAAAATATATTGCATTAATCCAAACAATCGGGAGAACCGCCCAACTGCGCACAAATCGAATGATCGGAATCGACGATGACCCATGGTCTCCGACCAGGCGAGCGTCTTCGGGGGATGGAGGGGGTGGCGCTGCATGCGCCATGTTCAGTTCCAAGCTGGAGGGCGTTTCAGAGAATTTGTCGTACCCACGTGACCCTTGGCCGGCCGGTCGACCGGGTGACGCCACAAAGGGCATGGATGGAGACCATATCTGTATGTATGTATGATGGACTTCTTTGAGCTCTGTACTTAGCCAACCGTGCTAATCGAAGGTGCGGGGGAAGGACAACAAACTAAAAACGTGGCTGGGATGGCAGAGCCGTTTACGTAGTACCGTGTACTGTGTAAAACGATGCGTGATATGTGTTGATACATTATTGCTGTTGATGTTGTTATGAACAATTATCTTATTGTCGTTAATGATTATGTCATTATTGTTGACGTTATCGTTGTTGCTACGGCAAATCATTGTTGTTATATTATTGTTGTTCACGTGGTTGAGCGAGTCGTTGGGAAACGAAAAGCAAGAAAACCACTGCTTGCAATTCCCTTAAGTTATATCCCCACGCGGGCAGTGCTTGTAAATCAATGAGGCAAATGCCCTGCGTGTTTCTGCAGGCCGAGCTGCCGTGTAAGTCGTAAGCACGTTGTTCGCGATGCGTACCAATGGGGCGTCTTCTTCCACAGCTCTCTCCATGGCTATCGCCACCATGTTGGATGACAAATCAACGCCAAGCACTTCCACTCCGTATAACTAGCGAAGGACAAGACAAAGTTGAAACGTAAAGCTGTTAGGCCAGAGCTAAAAAAAAAACCTAGTAAGAATATATTTTTTTCAGATGAAAAAAAAATCTCCCAATTATATTCCAATTGTACTATTGATATCGTGTCATCAAACGGGGAGAAATTGCCACTCGAAACTCTCAAAGTGAGCGATGCATCACATCGTCGTCAGCGAATGGCTCTGGAGATGATCTCAGAGCTCTCATCATCACCGACATTTATTTCGTATCCCATACGGGACATCTCATGGGACCAAGATACAGGGGTATGTAGCAGTGTTTTCAGACGAAATACTATTTTTTTAAATACAGTAAAGCCGGTGAAGACAGCGAATTAAGATGCACCATAAACAATTTGAACAATCGGATGCAACTGGGAGTATGCAACGTTTTTGAGTAAATGTCATGGACAGAGCTAAGTGGAAGGCCATGATTGCCAACATCTTTGAGAACACGGCACACAGAAAAAAAAGAGTACAGACAGTATATAAGAGAAATAAACAAGATTTTAAAACTAAATTGTACTTTCGAGAACACTCTTTCGTTTACTTGATTTTAATCATTCGTACTTGAGAAGTCACTTAAAAAAAACTCGCAGACTGCTTATTGCATATAAAACCCGTAATGTATAATTTTAAAAGTTGGATATATAAGCTATGTTTATTGAGTAGCCAGTGTGCCACCGCTATACTTTAGAACCTGATTTAATAACGGGTGGCTGGTGGATTTGAACCAAGCATCTCAGTAGGTGCCACCTCAGAATCTGAGTTGGTATTATCCCCCACTGAGCCAGCCACCTGACCATCTCACTCAGAAGCCACACAGGGCAATTCTGAAGCTCAGCTGGCAGAGGAATCCGATAATTTAAAAGCATTCATGATGATCTGTACCTTTTGGACAAACTCGTATTTTATTAAATTGGCAGCGATACTCGCACAGAACGGAACTCTCTTATTCTAGTGATGGGTTCTTTTGCGAATTAACTTCGAGCAGATGGTGTGCTTTGGTAATTTCCTACAGGAATTACTATGCAAAAATTAAACTAATTAACTTCAAGCAAACTGCTTCAGTGGGGAATAAATGCTCCAACACCAAAGCACCTTTCAATATTAAACAGAAAAATTACGACAAACACAATTATATACTTTTCATATGTATTTTGTGCACGTTGCATAATTTTAAACATGCACAAGAGATATTTACAATGACAATCGCAAAATAAATGTTATGCACCTTAGACATCAAAAAGTCGCCCCCTCCAATGCCACAGCCAACATCCAGGACCTTCTGTCCTTGTCGCAGTCCCAGCATGGCCAAAAACTCCTGAGAAAAACCAAAGTGTCACACTCCGCTAAAACAACAAAATCTCACTCTCAAAATACTTAAGGGTGCTTGTTCTTTACCCACGTGTCTTTTATTCAGGAATAATCTCACTTCAAGATCTTTCATACATGCAATGCAATATATAAAATACACCCACCATTGCTGAGAGATTCCTGTGGCAATCACTATGCCTCTGTGGGTGGTGCTCAAGTCAATGTTTCATTCACTTGAATGTGGTTCTAACAGGGAGTCTTATCACGGAAGATATTGTCCAATTGAATCTCATTCGTTTGAATGGTGACACAGGAATCGTCATTAAAATGAGATTCAAACACCATTCAGAATCCTCGTTCATTAAACAGGTGATTCCTTGATCTCCATTCAAATGAATGTGGATTATCTGAGAGATAAAGCCCCGTGCATTTCAATGACAATTTCACTTGGCTGTGTCCCGGGCTCGCCAAAGAGTTTGAAGATTCCATACTGACACGACTTCACAGTCAGGGCACTCCGTCCTAATGTCCTCATTGATAGTGTTTTAACCTTAGGGATGTGACCTCAATGGAGCACTACAACGGAATTTTTGAACGTAAGTTTACGGTCCTCAACGCACCTCGGTGGTCTGGCGGCCACCTGTGCTGACAAAGCCGTGGCCAAAGATTTTCTCATAGCGAAGAATGGAACGGGACGAGTACTGCTGCGTGTCCAGAAACTGCTGGAAGGTGGCGAATCCGTAGTTAGCAGCCTGGTCCCGCTGGACCTTCTGCATTAGCCAGCACATCTGGTTCTTGTTGTTCTTGAACTGTAAAAACACAAAACGGCAGCAGCATTTCACATTGGCGCGATGATTCCATGACCGGCCAAGGTGGGTTGCAATTGCAAAGATGCTTATTACTTGGGGATATGCAAATAGGTGCCATTTTGTTCGTTAACATGCCACCGACAGCCAAAAATCAATTGCTCGTTTTAATAATGACGTTTAAGTTCGAGCATTTACCTTGATGTACGTCTGGACCGACTTGGACATTACAATCTCAAAGCCTACACTCTTGTCCTCCTTGTTAGGCACAGGCAGGCTACCCAGCTGCAACAGGTGGTTGTACGCAGCCGGTTTACGATACTTGGTTGGGTTAAAGTTTCGATGACCATCGCCTGCAAAAGTTTTGCAACACAGTCTCAACATACGGCAGCTTCACAATACACAAATAATAAGTTTTTTTTTTAAGTTAAAAGGTACAGCCCTGAGATTACTTGCTCATGCCACTGCTAGTCATAAATTGAACTGTTATGCACTGCCAAAGCACTTTACTTGGTAGCTTTTTGTTTGCAAGGGGATGTCGTGAAATGGAAGATTGTGGAAAACGGGACAAACCAGACTGGGTGAAGCAAGACTCGCGGAAGAAGAGATGGCAGCCAGGTCGCAGCCAAGTGAGCATCTTTCTGGCGAGTACCAGGAGCTCTTCATCCGTCAAGTACATAAACAACCAGTTCGAGAAGATGACGTCGAAGCTGTAAAAACGAAGTAGTAAAGCAACCGACTTGATTGGCACGGCTGTGTACAAAATGGTCACAAATGTGGTTTCAACACATCGTAAAGTTATCTAAATGACATCGGAAGCCTCTACCTGTTGGCTGGAAAATCCAGCTGAGTCACGTCAGCCTGCAGGAAGGTCAGGTTTCCACGGTGACCGTTGTCTTCCTTGTTCTTCGCAATGAAGTTCTCCATGAAATCCACTGCGGTCACGTGGTTGGCAATCTTGGCTAGGTGTCCAGTAAAACGTCTGCCAAAGCAAAATACATCAACTTCATTAAAAAAATAGGTAAAAAATATAATTTGTAAAATGGAGCAAGTCTTTTAATGTTGCACTCTGATTTAATGTACAATAATGGAAAGGTTAAATACAGGTAGTCCCCGACTTACGATGGTCCGACTTATGATATTTCGATCTTACGATGGCGATATGACAAAATGGTAAAATACTTTTAATTTCGCGCGGCAGGCAAACGCAGCAGCGTACGAGGTACGATACTGTACTTAATCATCGCCATCCTCTTCCGACAACTAAGTTAGCCATCAACAACCTAACATCGTTCAAGTATGCAGACGATGGACAGAATCTTGGCGAGTACAGTAGAATATGATACGTTACGATACATTCAATGCATGTATGATACATAGCATTAGCGATTTCATTTTAGGGTTACCACGATACGATACATACTTTCAATGCATGTTAAAAGTTTTTATAGCAGATAGGATTGTTTCTTGAAAAGACTTTCCATGAAATTGGAGTTCACATAGGTAGGCTAAGAATTTACCTTGTTTTTTACTTTAAATTTAACTGTGCAATACAGTATTGTAATTAATAAATACATGCAGTATATAGTTTATACAGTACGGTACTGTAAATTGCTCTGTTTTGCTGAATTATCACCATTCTTTAAGACTCCTGGGTAGGCTAGGCCATCTTCGACTTATGATGGGGTCGTCTTAACGCATCTCCATCCTAAGTCGGGGACTACTTGTATTTACAAGAGTTTTCACAGATGAATTCAGGGACATGGATATAAGGAGTGCTGGATATTTGGGATAATAGGCTTGTGATAATCAGAGTTTCACTGTGGTTAACATAAAAGCGGCTTGGCCCATATTACACACCATATTGCTAGCACGTGTGCCGTCAATATATATATTTTTTACATTCTCAGAGTCAACACTGACCCAATGCCAGCTCCCAGCTCCAGGATGTCGGTTCCATCCAGGTTTGGCAACAGCGAGAGGATTTCCGGCTTCTCCTCCTCAGCCAGAGTAGAGGCCTTGGAATCGAGCATCATCTGCTCCAGTGTAGCCTCTTGTGAGTGCTCCTTCCAGAACTTTGTCATTTCCTCCCGGGAGGTGCATTCTTCGCTCGCCAAGCAAACAAGAGTCAACAGCGGAGTCAACGCACGCTCGGAATATTTTCGCTGCCCTTTCTCAGAAATGCCAAATCAAGGCACCGCAGTAGTTCCTTGTAGCAGGGATACCCATGGGGCATGTTATTTAGGCACGTTGCAACAACATATTATTCTTAATATTTAAAATTTTCTAAACACTTCCTCGAAACTTGACTACAAGTGTAATCTCCAAATAATTAAAAAGTATTTTTCCACCTTAACTACACTGCTATATCAGTAGATTACTGGGGGGGTTGCAATTGGCAACTGTTAGGTTTACAGTAGTGTTTATATTGCATAGCCATGAACTGTAAGTTATTACATGGCTGTAACTGCTTGAGGGCAAAAGTAATTCAGTATAAAAACCCTCACCAAACCCGACTACAATTAACCAAACTTTCCACGTTTATGGATGTTATAACCTTCATTTTATGCGCGGCAGTTAGGGGAAAAAAACCCCACAATTTATTTGTAATAGTATGGAATGTCGGCAAATTGATTCCACTTCAATACTCTATCAAACACTGTCGTGTAAAAGCGTCCTGTACCAAATTTACATCATGAAGAATGTTTGGCAAGTAGCCTCTGCATAATACACTGTATGACCTGATTGACAGACTTGCCTAGTGACACAACTAGCACACGACTTCAGCGTTTTACTACTACTTTTCAGTTCACACTTCCCACAGAAATATTTATTTTGTTACATATGACTCTTTTTTCCCAAAGAGGGTTCTACTACACTGGTTTAAAAAATATATATGATGCTTTCAGCCAATTTATGAGTGTTTATTATACAAGCGGGATGAAACCAGAGGCCCAAGAGAAAACCCACGTGGGCTTGAGAGGGCAAAGCTCTATCCCCGTACCGATGGAAACACATGGCGATTAGTCCACTTGCTGTACTGCCGCCTTCCCCATGGTGAGCCAGGGTATGGAAACCTCAAAGTCCGCCGGGAAGGCGAGTTGTACAACATTTGTGTGATCCACCAAGCCGCTAAAAGGATGCGGGGCCATCAAGCGCGAGCGGAGAGTTTAAAAGCTGGCAGCAAAACATGGCATGAAATTATGACCACCCCAAATATGGTTTAGGTCATAGGGGGTTCGTCAACCCGAGGCTCCGGAGCCGCATGCGGCTCTTTTAATGAGTTGCTTCGTGACGGTTATTCACACATGCATTGAAATACATGTAGTACAGGTGTTTTTTTTGTTGTTTAAACCGGATTCGAAAAAAAGTGTCTCTCCTTGTTATTTGGGTTGCCGATCCCTGGTTGTGGAAAACGGGGGCTGCCAGTGTTCCACAGAAAACTGTGTGTGGTTAAGCAGGTTCCAAAGCGTCACAGTAACACACAGACAGCTGAAAGACCTAATATTGTACGCGGACGATCGTATTCACAGTGACACATTCTAGCCACCTGCCACAAACGTGGACACGTTTTTTTTCTCGTCAGCTATTCTTGACAATGTCCTGCTCACTGACCCGAGAGCTCACACCAGCCAGGGCGAGGGAATTATTTCAGAGTCCACACCTGAATATAAACTATGAATAATTCGCACGTTAAACAAGGAATCGAGGTCGGGGATATTAGTTCTATTTGGGGATGATTAAAACGAGACGTAACTGTTTGCGAGTGTCTGCACGTGGCATCACACAACGCGCAACACGATGGGAGGGATGGCATCATCTCGTGTGCAGGATACGTGTGGGATTGGTGCATCTCGCAAGGCCACGAGGAAAGCCTTCATCCAACAGCGGATAGATCACGGCTGAAGATGACGACGACGACCGTGCAGTTTATATTACGGCCTAGATAACAGCACGGCTTGTTTGGATGAATAATTGACGTCGTCAAATTAAGCACGTTCCAATGTCCAATGGCAATTACTGTTGGAGTTGGGTGCGTGATCATCACGACTGATAAATATAACCAACGTGGGCCTGCGGATATACACGCGATCACAATTCACATTAACAACCAACACCTCCGTGGACAACAAACACTACCGACTTATAAATTACCGGTGACATTCGATTCCGACAGCAAACCGAAGCGTCATTAACATGCAGCCCAGCCGACAGCCAAACACGACTTGTACTCCCATTTTAAATGTCTAAAATTATCCAACGGGTAAAGGTAAAATAAACCTCCCACACGCACAATAACATCGTGGTACGAAATTGCGAATGTTGTCCGATTAATACAATTACCACCCAACGTGTGAGTTATGAAACCCTTTGACGTGAATTCACAAGCCACGAATGTCTACGGTTATATTTAACAAAATATATATAACTTCAACCGGGCGATGAAGAATTACACAACTCGCTCCCACATCGTGGAAAGCATTTCCACGGGATTCACTCGAACGAATCGGTAGCATCTCTAGGTCAGCTCCGGCGTAAATTTAAATGGGTATATGATCACACCTACCTTGAGCAGTAGCCATGGGCTGAGGTCGAGTACAGTACTCAAAAAAAAAGTGCCGAGCTAACGGTGGCTCCGTATTTATTGCACGTAAAATACTTGTACTATAATAACGACGACAGGTAGCTCTTGTTATTGCAACAGCAGCAGCAGCGATAAGAACAAGTTTAATTGAAGTATATAATCAATGTTTAAAGGGTTGAGAGCACTGCCCCCCCCCCCCCGTACTGCGTGGATCGCGGCTCGAACGCGTGAAAACGAGCGGCTGCTTCTGTCGTGAATTCTGCCCCTGGGCAGCATCCAGCCGCAGATTAAATCTCAATCGTTTGTTTCACCACCGCCCCTCCCCACCTCCTCTTCCAACCAACTATGTCAACGTTGCACAAGACGCTGTGGGGGCCAGTGTTTAACCAACCCACGCGGGTGGCGGCGGTGGTGGTGGTGGTGTGGCCAGGCGCTTTCGTGTAACGATTGCGTGAGCCGGACGTTGCAACCAACGCACGATTTGAGACCCGCTGCGGTTGAGGGGGGCCCCCCCGCCCCCCTCTGTTGGCGGATGAAGCCACGCCAGGTGGACATGTTAGCATGGGATTACTGTGTCGCAGTATCCCAACTCTCTGTTTAAAAAAAAAAATACTCTCTCTGGCCCTCTTACGAAGGGTCGTCGTCCGAAACGTCGCCTGTTATAGAATGGTATTTTAAGGCCACTGTGTTGTTTGATGAATGCGTTGAGTTTTGTTTTTAATTGTGCACCATCTGCCAACGCAGCAGCATCACCAGATAATTAGTGTTGCATTATGGGCTAAAACGTGTTTTTTTAAATTTTCAAATGTAAATTTTAACTTGTTAAGCATTTATTTTCTTTCTCGTGATTGTTATTAACTGTATCAAGGTGCATGAATTCATTGTCCCGTATTGACATAAATCTACCAAATATGAAAATTCCACACGACAAATGTTTTGTGGACAGGAGTTTATTCTTTTTTTAAGAGGGGAAATTAAAAAAACGACCCTTGGTCAGTGAGATGAGCAGATGATCTGTGTTCGATTGTGAGATAACAGTATTGACAATAAGGGGAAAAACCCTATTATTATGACATAAAATATATTTGATTTCTCTACATTTTTCGTATATTAAACAGGTTTTCGGTAGCACTTATGATCAAAAGATATTCGTTATTTTAACCAGGTGACAATCTCTTGAAAATCAAAATTTAAAGGGGTCAAATACAGGAATAAGAATTGCACAAAATTGTATGAATGTAAAAAAAACTATTAAACATATCTCACATAATATAATCTTAGTTTTTTCGGTAAAGTCACGTTGAAGAGAAACAACAAAATAATAAAATATATATAAAACAATAAAAATTCTCACGACGTTTCGACCATAACTCAAACGGTCATCTTCAGGTGTGTTGGTTCGCATAAATGTATTTTTAAACGGCGCATTTATTTATTTATAAAAAACGTTAGCGCCACGCGCAACGATTTGACAGTTTACCCAGGACTAGTCCATCTATATTCTGAAAAGAGGAGGGGGGAGACGAAATTTTTCATAATGTATGCTCTCTGAAAGCCACTGTAAGTGTGAACAATCAATTAAGAACTGAAATGGTTTATCAAATCTTTCCAATGATTGCTAAGATAGAATCCATCTTCTCGGTTGAAATTGTCTCTGTGCTTGTATATGTGGATAGCCTCATGAACGAATCTCTCATGGAAGCCAGATGGCTTACAAAGAACCTCTGTCTTGGAAAAGTCAATGGCATGTGAGCCTACTGAATTAGAACAATGATCTGCTACGGCCGAGGTGTTGGTCCTACCGTATTTAAGGTCTGCTTTGTGTTCACGAATGCGGTCCGAGACATGGCGTTTGGTTTCTCCAATGTAACTACTACCACAAAGGCAACTTAGTTTGTAGACACCAGGGTATTGTATGTCCGGAATCACATCTTTTACAGACAGAACCAGATCACGGATTTTATGTAATGTGTTGAAACGGACCTGGATATTGTGTTTATTCAAGATTTTGGAGATCTTTTTTGTGATCCCAGCAATGTAGGGTAAAGTGATGGTTTTGAAAGGCTCCTCAAGAGGGTTCTTCTTTATGGTTTGAGTGATAGCTTTGCGGATTGTATAGTCGGAGTAACCATTAGCCCTAAGAGCTTGGTGTACATGCTTGAGTTCACTGCTTATGTGTTCCTGGTCGGATATGCATTGGGCTCTATGATACAGAGTCTTGATGAGATAATTCTTCTGTGATGGATGGTGGCGGGAATCCGGTTTCAGATAAGCATCCGTATGGGTAGCTTTCCTGTAGACAGAGTGGCTCATTGAACCATCAGGTCTCTTTTTAATTAGGACATCCAAAAAAGGTATCTTGCCATCTATTTCGACTTCCATGGTAAATCTGATGGCTGGGTGTATGGAATTGATGTGGTCGAAGAATTGGTCTAGAGCAGGCCGGCCATGTGGCCAGATGACAAAAGTGTCATCCACGTACCTCTTCCATAAGGTTGGGCGCAGATTGGCAGTCTGGATGGCGTCAGTCTCAAATTTATCCATGAAAATGTTAGCTATAACTGGAGAAAGGGGGGAGCCCATTGGGGTGCCCTCAGTTTGTTTGTAGAAAGTTCCATTCCAAGTGAAGTATGTATTGGTTAAACAGTGTCTCACCAGGGGGGGTACCTCAGTGTTTAGTCCTTGATGAACCAAGTCTTCAATGATTGCAATGGTGTCAGGTACAGGAACCTTGGTGAATAAGGAAACTACATCAAAACTGACAAGCAGGTCGTCTGGGGACAGGGAAATACCCTTGATTGTCGATACCAGGTGAGTAGAATTTTGTACCGCAGAGGTGGTCTTTCCAGTGAAAGGACGCAGGATTTCAGACAAAAAACGAGCTAGTTTGTAGGTGGGGGAGCTGATAGTAGAGACTATGGGACGAAGAGGTGTATCTACTTTATGCATTTTTGGTAAGCCGTATAATCTTGGTGGCCTGGCAGCAGAAGGTTTCAACGAAAACTGTTTAGATTGATCAATTAATGCGGTTGAATCAGAAATTATTTTGTTGGTTTGTGTGACGAGGCTGTTGGTGGGATCTCTTTTTATTTTTGTATAACTACCATCGTCGAGTAATTCTTTAATTTTGTTGTATTCTATTTTATCCATGATGACAGTAGCATTGCCTTTGTCAGCTGAGAGGACTACAATATCATTCCTCTTTTTTAATTTATATAATTCAAAACGTTCATCTTTGCTGAGGTTGCTAGCTGGCATCTTTTTTTTTTATAAATAAATAAATGCGCCGTTTAAAAATAAATTTATGCGAACCAACACACCTGAAAATGACCGTTTGAGTTATGGTCGAAACGTCGTGAGAATTTTTTTTATTGTTTTATATATATTTTATTATTTTGTTGTTTCTCTTCAACGTGACTTTACCGAAAAAACTAAGAATATGAATGACTGCAGTCACGAAAGCTTTAAATCAAAATGTATATCTCACATAACTCAACAAGTTAATACAAAACAAGCAGATGAACGTATTAAACCAAAACAAAAAGGAAACAAAACGAAGGATACCAAAAAAAGGGACAGCACGAAGAAGTCCTCTACATATAAATGTTAGAACATTTTAATAAAGAGAGTGGCTCCTTACGTAAGATGGCCGCCACGTGCGGGTGTGCTGTTGTTGACATCACGGGGCACTGGAGCGGTGACCCCCACTCGCGTGGAGCCGCCACGCCGCAGCCACGCAGGGAGAGGCTACTCCCATCACTTTTGATTTCCCACAACGCACGGGGAGATTATTTTCTCAGGCTCGCGAGTGGCTCGGGCCCAGGGCTGTGGGTCGACACGCCATGGCAATTAACCGATGGTGGCGTGGCTTCGATTGAGGAGGCATTTCAAATGATTAAATTCTCCTGACCCTGCGTGTGGCCAGAGGCAACCCCGCTGTGGTGTGATCAGCCCACGCCAATGCCATTTGTACATCACCTTCATAGATGGACGATTAAATACCTCCCAAAGTCGTGCGATTGTGGGCATGCATCACCCCCCCCCCCCCACTAACTCTAACTCTGGAGTCTGAACCATATCGTAAACAACTGTACTGTATATCCTTAGCTCTTTCGGTAAAGTCACGTTGAAGGGAAACAAAAAATAATAAATATTAATTACTGCAGTCACGAAAGTTTTAAATCAAAATTTAACTGTACTGTACATAGCCTGCGCTCTGTCGTGGCTAGCAGCCCTCTCTGGACACTGCCAATTAGTTCATAAACATATTGCTGACGTACGCAAGATGAGAATGGTTGTCCAATAGTTGAATTGAATGTAATGTCTTTCTCGAGAGTATAAACGGATCTGTGTCGAGAATATACGTACATACCATACATAGTCTTAACGATTTCGGCATGATTGCGCATATTCATGGCCTCACCTGATGACGGTTGCTTGTGTTGCGATCGAAACGTCGTGATCCATTAATTTTCTATCTACGTGACTTTACCGAAAGAACCAAAGAGTATGGATTCCTGCAGCCACGAAAGCTTCAAATCAAGATATTCATTGCCTATTTTTGCTTTGCAACGCGAGTTTGTCTTTGGAAGCATTTAATTTACCAATTTCAGGTGGCATGGCCCAGCGGGGTATCCCGTGTGTCGTTTTGTTTGCAGAGATTCGCGGTTCGACCCAGCAGCCCGCACTGATTAATATTGCAGGTGCATTAACCATATAATTTCACACAGTGGACGTTAAATATCCCCTGACGTCATTCGCAAGAGCATAACATTGTGTGCCGGCAACATTGGTCCAAATTTGAAAACAATACAGGACTATCCCTGCAGATTACTCGGAATAATATAAAGAGCAATCATCGCGCCCAACTGCAAAAACTTGGCAAGACTCTCCTTAAAAGAGTCATGAGACTCTGAGGCAAAACACGTTTGTACAATGTTAATATGCCATTTGACTCATCGTTTGCGCAAACTTAACTTTACACTTAAGCTTCGTTCATATTGGATCATCTTTATGAGTTATCCCCCCAGGCCCAAACCCCTCCCGCTCCTTAGGGATGGAAGGAGAGGCAATGCATAGACGCTTGCAGATAAACAGCCCTTGCAAATCCACATTTGCTCGGTCATACTTCACCACGAGCTGATCAATGCGGGTTGGACCGGTTTGGAGATCACCTGGTGGGACTTATGATGCAGGGTGGGTGGCGCAGTGGATTCTATACTTACCTGCGGCTGCAGGAACTTCAGTTTGATTCCCGTTCACGCCTGATATCAGTGGCAAGCAATATCGAAACCGAACCTGGCCTTCCACTAGCATTTGATTGACAAATGCCTCTAAATTGTTATTAGACTAGAGTACTGTATAATACATTCAACTGGTGAACGGGTACGACAAATATCTGTATTGCAGGTCCAGGGTGGTGGGATAAAGTGTGGATACCCTCAAACTCTTACAAGACGTCTGGCCAGTGTGAAGACTAAGACAACGTACCCCCCCCCCCCTTGGATGGGTTCTCCAAAACTCCCCTCTAGTGGCGGTCCTTCCATCAGTCGTGGCATGAGCGAGCAATTTCACGGTTGAACTTTAGCCTACATTGGTTGATCAACAAAAACACTGTTTTCTCAAAAGTGTTGCAACTCATGTTTAGTGTCTCCTTGGGTAAATAATTGAAATGCAGACCATAGATCCCGGCTGTATAGTAACAAAAAAACCAGACTAAAACACTCTAGGTAATTCGACTACATTAACATTTCCAAGAATTCAAAACCAAAAACCCTAGAGGTATAAGCGACCTCTAGTCTGGCAACGTTTATTATCCGAATGGGTTTGGCCAGTGGGTGGTGCTAACACGGTGGTCGGGCAAATCAAAATAACAAAGAGGAGACATTTAAAAAAATGGAATGCGGTAACAAAAACCCCTCAATATTTCAAGAGCCCCCCCAATGCATGTAATGAATACGAGACGGTGTGGTCTTTAATAAACAACGCCACGATGCAGTCCTTAAACAGCCGCAGGTTGCCAAACTCTGTCAGCTAACCCAATGTGGTCCCAAAGCATAAATGTTTTTCGGCGCATCACCTGACGACAAACATGCTGAACAAGCTGCGTTATGCTGTTTCATTCCATCACGGTTAAATTAATTTAGATATCAGAATAATGACTGTATAATTAGTGATATTGAATTATATTGTTTTTATTTTATTATTTTCTATAAGAGTTTGCGCCTATACTTGTTTTTTTTTCTTGATGTGCTTATGCTCATGTCAGAATCCACTGTGGCCAAACTAACAAAAAACAAGGACTGAAACTACTAGATCTCAGCCCCACTACTGCGAAAACTTGACAGGGGACTCGCTAACATGGGCGCTTTCTTTGGCGAACAAACCGTGACAATAATTTGTTAAAAATGTGTCAATCAGGGCGAAGTCACTGGGCTTCTTGAATCAACACCGACCCCAGTGACCCGACGATCACAAGATCGCTGACATCACCTAACTCATGGCAACTTGCGTGGTTTAAAAAAAAACCCCACAAATGATGTTGTTGGATCTCCCAACAAAAAGCCCCAAGGCGGCGCCCGAAAGCCACAAGGGACGCGCGCGTTGCAATTGGCCCGACCGGCGAGCGCTGCTCGCGGCACGATTGGCCACAATGCCGCGTGGGCGTCACCCTCCGCAGTTTCTCAACCCAGATGCCCACCTCCCTGCCCAGCCGGAGCGATAAACACAATCCGTGTGCCCCAGCGCGGAGCGAAACCGAAAGGCGGATTGTGACAGGTTTGAGGTCACACACCGCGTGCCAGCCCGGTTGAATAAGTCATCAGCGGTCCGAAACGTATCTCGTGCCTTTTTTTTACGTCTCGGTTGCAGTTAAAAAAAATATATATACTTAAACGGACGTTGTTTTTCACCTTTCAATTTGTCGTCAATGGTTTGGGTTTAACCGAACCCAGCCAGCTGGGCATCATCCTTCCGTAATCTTCTAGCGCGTTGAAAAGGTTAGTAGCTGCGCACACTCGTTGCATCGCCATTCGTTTGCCGTTTTATATGTGCGTGCTAATGTTGCCGGCCACTACTCGCAGCACGCCGAGCACGACGTGGGACCGATTTACAAATCGGGAATGCGCTTCGAGTGGCATTTTGCTGGTCGCAATCACAACCGAGCGAGCCCTTTGTGTCGGCCACCGCACGCTGGGGGTTGGGACTAAAGACCGGGCACGGGGAGATTTCTCGGTCCTGGCCTTCTTGTCAGCTTTGGGATGTTCTGTGTTCAAATTTTGTTTGTTGCGGTTGCACCCGACTTAAGAGCCGCATGGCTCACAGGGCTATACCTAATAAATGAAACTTGAAAACTTGTGTGTGTGTGTGTGTTGCGTGCGGCTGCATCGCTCGCAACAACGAAACGCGCGGCCCAGCCCGGGTTCGATTCCCGCTCGCCGCCAACACACGCCGGTGACGATTATATCTGAACCCGCTCCTGGGCCCTCCCCTAAGTCGACTTGGTGCGGCGTTTAAACATCGCCACTGGGGAGACAAAGGCGGCCGTCCCGGCCTTAATAGGTGCTCGCTAACAGCGATTGCCCCAACAGTGTGCTAATTGTGTTTAGTTTCTTTTGCCCCCCCCCGTAGCGAAAGGTCAACAACATACAGTACATACAGGGCTATACGAGAGGTCTTTGTCTCACTCACAAAGGACCGTATCGTCCACACTGGACAGACGTCTTGGAAGGGGTGAATTGTAAACCCCTGTAAAAGAGCGAGTGTTGCTTTGTAGATTCAAGAGCTTAATACGACTCGTACCAATTAGGCAGCTACAGAGTATACAGTGCAACATTTAAGGCTACATACATCGGACTGTAAAGGACATCCTGATAAACTACATAGTTTAAATAGCTTTGTAATTTGAACATCGTACATCCACAGAAAAAACACACCACAATCGTTATCCTACGTGCATTATTTTCCCCGTTTTATATATCGGATTAAAATCTGGGGCTATATATTTATTTTAAATATATTTTAATTAATATATTTTTGAATAAATTTTTAAATACATTTTAAAATATACTCATTCAGTTTTAGGTAACAGTGAGAATTATTTAATTGCAAACCGAATGAACACTTTACGAGTCGTGGCCCATCGACGATGCCTTCTTTTGTTGTAGTTTTCACCACGGGCTGTTTTCAACAGATGAACCCAAGGGGTCACGGCGCCCCTCCTCCACTCCACACACGGTTCATGGCGTGGCTATTTATTTATTTAGGTCATGGCCTTTGTCTCTTCAGACAGGATCCTATTTGCTTGACCAGGGAGTTGTCCAAAACAGCCCGTGGAAATGTACCCCGTGCATTAAGTCTTGTGTATTCCTTTCGGCGTGCATTGACTTAGTCCTGGAGTCAGAAACCAAAATAACAAGAAGAGCCATATTTTTCCAATTCAGTAGGAAAGAGCATTCCAAGCGACGCGATACGTGTGAATACGAGACGGTAATCCTTAATAAGTAACGACACAAAGCATCCCTTAACTAGCCGCAGGTTGCCAACTCCTGGCTTAGTCTATATGAATTCAGCAGTAATATATTTAATCCACTTTTCAGTTTTTTAAATGTTGGTTTGAGCGGTGCCACTATATCCCCAACAATGTAATCAGGTCAGGCAATCGGTGACGAGATTATCTCAGTCTGTAGATTTCATTTCGTCACAGTCATGCTCTGATCTTTGGTGGGCAGTTCGTCATTGCTGGATGATTATCGTCCACTCGCAGTCACTCACTGTTGGTTAAAAATGAGAAAAACACTCGAATATGTTGGCCCGCTAATTACGGTAACAAAATTAACCCCCCGCGCAGTTCTGTGCAGGAGACATCCAGCCTGCGAGGATGCGTGCCGCCCTGCTCATGGCCCTGGTGGCTGGAGCTTGCGCCTCTGCGCTGCCCTTCAGTCCAGAACCCGGGAGGAAGAACTGGGTTCTCATCGTGGCCGGCTCCAGTACCTGGGACAACTACCGCCACCAGGTAAACAGCACTGCGTTGATGAGACATGGCTACAGCGATGTACCGGTGCCTCGCCGACTGCTATTGGGTGAACCTTGTCTTCTGGGTTCAATGCCTGGCCACGGCTGGCATCAGTGGCAAGCGATATCTGAACCAGTCCTCCTGGCTCCCCAACACGAACTGATCGACGTGGTTGAATTATGGTCAAACAACTGCCATGACTGACACGGCATGGAGAGGGGAGTCATCCATCAGTGGATTTACAAAGGCATTAAGAGGTCGTCGATAAATGACGTCACACACCTAGGGGGGGGAGGGGGGGGTCAGACATTTGTGACGGGGGGAGGGGGGGTTTGAGAAATATGACGTCACATAAAAATGCGCAACTTTAAATAAATATAAACAATATAATTGTTATAACAACACAATTTTTTTTTATTAATTTTCATTATTAACTATTTTATTATTAAAATTTAGTAAGGTCACCTTTTATTTATTCCATGAAGGAGCATTTTGATTCTCCATGGGAGAATGGAGAAGCATACATTTTGTAAATTTTTTGAATGACTGTTATTAATCATTTTTATTTTAATGATTCTACCAGGTCTTTTCATTCTGTGGAATGAATATGTGACTGTTATAATTGTACTCTCCATTTTGCTTCGTTCTACTACAAAGTTAAGTATTTTTTTATAGTTATAATTACTTTTAATATTTTATAATTATAAGAGAATTTCAATATATATGATGTAATCCAGTCAAACCTGTCTAAGTTGGACTAATTGGGGGGGGAAAGAGCATTTACGGTTATGGGGAGACGTCCGGCACACTACAAACAATGTCAAAACACAATCATTAAATAACACGCAATTCCTGACACACAATTAGCACAAAGCTTCACCACATGGTAGCCTGATACATGCAGGTTGACTGCAGAACGCCGTTTCCTACCACACGCAGCATAATTCTCTGTACTTTGATTGTTTTTGGTTGTCTTATCCCTCGGCCTATCCCGAATTCACGCCCCCTTCAAGTCTGGCTTCGAGACATTTTACTGTAGCGTGTGCAGCTCAGCAGTTCTGCGATCCTTCCTCTAGGCCGACGTCTGCCACGCCTACCAGGTCGTGCACAAGCATGGCCTTCCCGACTCTCAGATTGTCGTCATGATGTATGACGATCTCGCCAACAACTCCGCGTGAGTATCAAGGGTCCACGGTCCCACACATTGCTCCTCCATGCACAGAGGTGAAAAAGCAGCCACAGGAGGGAATGCGTCGAAGGGGACATCCACTAGAGAGTTGGAGTAATGAGGATGAGCTCTTGTGCATGTGATTGGGTGGGTGGCCGTAACAACTTGGGGAAGTATACATCCAGCAGTAGATTGATCATGGCAGATGATGATGAGACTGTTTAATATTAAGCGCTGTAGCGTGGGCATATAAAATTTTGTCCGTGATTAAATTCAGATCATTATTTATAATCGCGATTTGTTAAAATGGTTGATCTTCAATCGTTAACAAATATAGGATTTTTTTTTACCACGATAACCTTGAAAACAGACAGTTACAGAGCTCGTACGGGTTACATTATTTGAATTCCGTTTCCAAAAACGATGTTACCCCCTAACGGCTGATTGAGGCATGAATGGTAGGTACCTGTATCTCTACACCGCAGAGGACACCAAGTCGGGTGTGATGACATACGGTACTGTATTTTCCTGTGAAATATGGGGCGGCTTAATTTTTTGATTTTACAAAAGCAATATTCATAATTATTTTCGAGATTTGTTTTTACGGAAACTGCTTTGCATCTGTTCCTCCCAAACACGCGTGATTGTCATGACCAACTAAATCTCAAAGTGAAACTGCACACGTTGGCTTGCGGATAATAATCAACACAAGGGTTTATACGACTAACTGAACGTGTTTTGTCAGCAAATAATTATTCAATGTCACCAGCAGCCCACTGGAAGGGTATCATCTAATGTTTACCTCATGCCAACATATAATTGCCACGTCATCGCAAAAATATTACTCGTTAAAGTGATCAAACGAACGACGTCTGTGGTTTTCGAACACCGTCCATTCAGTCTAGCTTCCATTTAAAAACAAAAAAGCTGAACACAATAGTGGAAAGTCAGTGTCTTGTGTCTTCATTTAGACATGCTTTGAACAAGCCTGGCCTGTATTTCGTGTCCTAAAAAAAACGGCAAGCGCTGACAATCGCGAAACGTTCGATTGCGATTAAATCTTTTAATTTGTCGCAGGAATCCGACTCCAGGGAAGATTATAAACCGACCCAATGGACCTGATGTTTACAAGGGTGTGCCCAAGGACTACGTCGGAAAGGTGGGTGAGGGTCTGTTGATCATTCCGCTGGTTGTGGCGCTCACAAATAATTCTGTGCCCCCAAACTCGTCGCGGTAGGTATAAGACAAAGGCTGGCATTTCTTTACAAATAGTGTCATTTTGATATATTTTTTAAACGATCTTAAACTCCTAAAATATACGCTTTGTTGTTCGGAGTAAAAGAATGGTCTGTATGATGATAGCGTACTAGCTGGAAATAGGCCCATCTTCTAAAAGCATAGTTGTGGTATAAGCAACACATCTTTACATTACTCTGTTGGGTGGAGAATGACACAGGGTAACTTCTGATACAAGCACACTACTTTAGATATGAGCACACTTTGGCCTTCCTCCCGTGTTGTGTGCTTATATCCAGCCTTTGCCGTGTGTGTGAACGTCACGGGTGAACAAACTGCTGTGAATCTTTCCTGCGCGCAGGACGTCACGCCTGCTAACTTCCTGGCTGTGCTGCGGGGAGACCGTGACGCTGTCAGCGGAATGGGCAGTGGCAAAGTTCTCCAGAGGTAAGCCCAAAAAGTAATATTCGCCGTCGATTCACCCATTGCGACGCTGCCATCGGGCCTAATGAACAACCTGTGACCCGGCCTTGCTGTCGTGGGTAGCACACTTAAGACTTGCAATCCCAAAGGTTCATTCCCCCAGCGCACAAGTTTAAACGATGGCGGCATGAATGGGTGCATCCCCTCCCCCCTCCTCCCCAGTCAGTCGATAAGGAGGTCATGTGTGATGGGGTAAAGTTGGGGAATTCCGACCTCTTTCAGAGACGTCTGGCTAACGTGGAAGAGTAGGTCAAGTAATCTAATCTTAGAGGGAGCTCTTTAGAGTTCCCTGCAATTTGCTTGGTCACTTTTACCAAAATACTCTTTTTACATTCTACCAACTGAAAAGTATTTATAAGGAATGCTCGCGTTGAATGTGTATGTTGACGGGTGGATGTTACCGCTGACTTGGCCTCTGTGTTTTGTGTGTCTCTGCAGTGGACCGGAGGATCACGTCTTCGTTTTTTTTACTGATCACGGGGGTCCTGGCATCCTGTGCTTCCCGAATCAAGACGTAAGCAAAGTGGAAAGAAATATAACCTTGGAAGAACTTGAATGTTGAACTTGAGATTGATTAATCTTGATTTTAAGCTTTCGTGACTGCAGTAATTCATACTCTTTGGTTCTTTCGGTAAAGTCACGTAGATGAAAAATAAATAATATATCACGACGTTTCGATTGCAACAACAAGCAACCGTCTTCAGGTGAGAAAGAGAAACAAGCCGCTGTGACGGGGCATTGTATAGATCCGAGGGAGGGGAGGGGCTGCCGTAATGGGCGAGAGGGTGGGGGTGAAATTCAAAGAGGGAACAAGGTGATAGAGAGGAAAAAAAGATAAAACGTAGCAAACTTAGAAATGTAATGCAACTCAGAGAGTCGGCCAACACAACAGTTAACACTTAACCTGGTTGATCAACGTCCTTCCAAGGTTGCTTGTTGTTGTGATCGAAACGTCGTGATCTATTATTTATTTTTCTACCTACGTGACTTTACCGAAAGAACCAAAGAGTATGGAGATTGATTTTTACGAGGAAATAGGGCGCTGAGGATGTGCCCTTTAAAATGCTGCACTCCTAAAAAGTATTAACAGTCACATCTGACTTGTTTCCTCGGTGAAATTGTGTTTAGTTGCACGTGGAGGATTTGAACAGAACAATCCAAGATATGCATGACAACAAGCAGTTTGCCAAGGTAAGAGTTCCACGTGCCCGACAATCATTTTGTAAGTATATTATATGCCTTTTGAAATTGTGTTGTGACTATACAAGCGAACGCTGTGTAAATCTTGTGTCCCTGATCTTGTGTAGATGGTGTTTTACATCGAGGCCTGCGAGTCTGGCTCGATGATGGTTAACCTGGCGAGCGACGTTAACGGCAAGTAGATTTTATCCTACACCTTGGCCTACAAGTAACGCCCTCGGATCTTGATATCGTCAAATAGTTTTGTTTTCCTGAAGCCGATGACCGCAATGAATCGTGTTTTGTTCTTAAGAGGTTTGTGTTGGTGTGTTCCCGAAAGATAGAGCGGTTACACATTTTACATTTATGTTTTTGTGCAAAGTGGAGCTCTTCCATTTTGCATTAATGTTGTAACGCCTGCCTGTCTGCCGTCTGCTGTGGATTTTCACCCACGTTAACATAACTGCGTATCATTAAAATATTTTAATCTTGTCTCTGCTTCTGGCCATATTAACTCCTCGGTCAGAGGTGGCACAATCCTGAGGATACTTGGCACCTGGACCTAATTAGAACTGCGTGCAAATGTGAAAGCACGGTGGCTCTGTGATATGAAACGACGCCAGCTTGCAATTTTTCACTCTTGACGTTTCTCACCCACACACAAAGCATCTTGCATTGCACGAGCGCGCGTACCGCACGTGAAGCATTTTCTAAAAGCGGTGGGTTTTTTGGTGTCCGTCTCTCTCTCTACAACTTCACATGCTTGCCGCTCTCACCTCACAGTATACGCCACGACAGCGGCGGGCACAAACGAGCCGTCCTACGCCTGCTATTACGATAGCGAGAGGAATACCTTCCTCGGAGACGTGTACAGCGTCAAGTGGATGGAGGACAGCGACTCGGTTAGTTCATGAGCTGAGGGGATTGGTCGTATGTACGTGCGTAAGTTGAACTTCTGATATAACACAGAAAAATAATGTACGTAGGATAACGAGTGTTGTATGTTTTTTTTTTTATGTGGATGTACTTGAATCTACAAAGCAACAATTGCTCTTTTACAAGGGTTTACAATTCACCCCTTCCAAGACGTCTGTCCAGTGTGGACGAGACGGTCCTTTTTGTGAGTGAGACCAGGACAAAGATCCCTCGTAAAGCCCTGTATGTATGTTGAACTTCTTTCGCACCGTACGCAGCCAACCGTGCTAATCGGAGGTGCGGGGGGAAGGGCAACAAACGAAACACAAATAGCAGTTCTAAAAAAAATCAGTGTTCATTCTGTATCGATACCACCTGGGGTGCCAACTGCTACTCGTGTCCACCATGGGCAGAAAGCTTCGCGTCAACCATGTGGTTTATAGTCACGCTTCCTATTTCATTTTTATAGTCTGTACATGTTTCGTATCATGTGCGGTTTTTTTCAGCACGGTTTTCTCTATAAAACGTAGCAAAGGAACCAATTGATGAAACATTTTCTCATCAAAGGCTACCTTGGTGACGTTATCACACAAATTTGTGATCTGGAGACAAAATGCTCCTAAGTATTCATCGTTAGCATTTGCCACCATGGTTGGTACCAATGCGCCGTTGTTGGGCCAATGGCCACCTCACATCGCACGTAAACTACCATTTGTCCCTGCTGTTATCCAAATTGTGTCTTTGAAGACACTTGTGTGCGTTTGTGTGACAAGACATTCCAATGCAGGTCAGTTCGATGGAATGACCTAATGGGATATTTTTTTTTTTACCATAATCATTTCCAGGAAGACTTGTACAAAGAGACGATTCACAAGCAGTTCAAGATCGTCAAGGAGGAAACGAACACAAGCCACGTGCAACAGTACGGCGACAAGGTGACCACGCGTTGTCACGGACAACGCTCGCGCATCAAAACCCGCCGGCCAGGACAGTCTTGTCAGCCAGGACTGCCTGTGGTCTTGGCAGGGACCATCTTATCAGCCAGGAGAACCATCTTATCAGCCAGGAGAACCATCTTATCAGCCAGGAGAACCATCTTATCAGCCAGGAGAACCATCTTATCAGCCAGGAGAACCATCTTATCAGCCAGGAGAACCATCTTATCAGCCAGGAGAACCATCTTATCAGCCAGGAGAACCATCTTGTCAGCCAGGAGAACCATCTTGTCAGCCAGGAGAACCATCTTGTCAGCCAGGAGAACCATCTTATCAGCCAGGAGAACCATCTTATCAGCCAGGAGAGAAATGTTATCAGCCAGGAGAGACATCTTATCAGCCAGGAGAACCATCTTATCAGCCAGGAGAACCATCTTATCAGCCAGGAGGACCATCTTATCAGCCAGGAGAACCATCTTATCAGCCAGTAGAACCATCTTATCAGCCAGTAGAACCATCTTATCAGCCAGGAGAACCATCTTATAAGCCAGGAGAACCATCTTATTAGCCAGGAGAACCATCTTGTCAGCCAGGAGAACCATCTTGTCAGCCAGGAGAACCATCTTATCAGCCAGGAGAACCATCTTATCAGCCAGCAGAACCATCTTATCAGCCAGGAGAACCATCTTGTCATCCAGGAGAGCCATCTTATCAGCCAGGAGAGCCATCTTATCAGCCAGGAGAACCATCTTATTAGCCAGGAGAACCATCTTGTCAGCCAGGAGAACCATCTTGTCAGCCAGGAGAACCATCTTATCAGCCAGGAGAACCATCTTGTCATCCAGGAGAGCCATCTTATCAGCCAGGAGAACCATCTTATCAGCCAGGAGAACCATCTTATCAGCCAGGAGAGCCATCTTATCAGCCAGGAGAGCCATCTTATCAGCCAGGAGGACCATCTTGTCAGCCAGGAGAGCCATCTTATCAGCCAGGAGAACCATCTTGTCAGCCAGGAGAACCATCTTGTCAGCCAGGAGAACCATCTTATCAGCCAGGAGAACCATCTTATCAACCAGGAGAACCATCTTATCAGCCAGGAGAATCATCTTATCAGCCAGGAGAACCATCTTATCAGCCAGGAGAACCATCTTATCAGCCAGGAGAACCATGTTATCATCCAGGAGGACCATCTTATCAGCCAGGAGAACCATCTTATCAGCCAGGAGAACCATCTTATCAGCCAGGAGGACCATCTTATCAGCCAGGAGGACCATCTTGTCAGCCAGGAGGACCATCGTATCAGCCAGGACCGTCTGCGGTCACAGCTCAGACTGTCTGTGGTCTTGTCTCATTTTCATCTAGACTTGTGTCTCCTTGGATTCGTTTTTCACGCGTGCGCCGTCAGTTCCCATAATACAGCAGTTGCAGTGATGTTTTGTGGGAGGATTCACATTGTCAGAACGGTAGCAATTATGGATTAGATGGTGTGTGGTTTCCTCACTACAGCAGCGGCTTAATATTGTACGCTTGAGAATAATCAACTACTAAATGGCTAAAACGTAAGTCACTTATGAAACTGTGATTAACTCGTATGTTCACGGCAAAACACAGAGAATGTGTGCATGTCACATGTTTTAACACAATTCATGCTTGATGGAGAGCTCTGCTTATGCAATCTTAAAATTGTTGGCAAGACGAGGCTGCAACTCTTAGCACCTCGCCCATCATCCTGCAACATGCCAGTCACTCTCCCTTATATTTCACTCATTCCTCTCATCTCATTTGCCTCCTACGTGACGACTTAACGGCATATGTCGAAAAAGAGTCCGCCTTGCCCAAATAACTGCACGTTAACATTTGACAGCCCTTAATCCACTTTTGGATTAAGGCCTCCCCCCATGCTGCGTCGGTGACTGGGGGTTGTTCGAGCCATACATAACCACGCTGGTCCGTGCGGATTGGTGAAGGGGCGCACACACCCATGACCGGTTGCGAGATATTAACTACCTCGCCTGGTAGACAGGAGGTCGTGGATTCAATCCCGACCCTTACGCTTGTATATTTGGAGTTTGCATGTCTCTCCCCGTGGTTGCGTGGATTTTTCTCCCGAGTCCTCCGGTTTTTACCTCTACATTTAGAAGCAACGTGCGTTTTAGAGTATTTGGCTGCTATCACTTTCCTCGCAGTGAGCCATTTCGTTGAGCTATCATTTGTGGCCAGGTTGCTTCTGAAAAAGAGCTAACTAGCTCAGTGGGCCTTACCTGGTATAATAAAAAAAGAGTTTTATATCACTGGCCACTGACGTTAGCCGTGGCCGAGAATGACACTCAACCCATCGGAGGGTTCATAGCGCAGTGCGCTTCACCACCGCTCAACGGTTTAAAAGCGCGCACGGCGGCGAGTCTCGCGTCCCTAGTTGGAGGCTGCAGTGCCCATCTCATCCATTGTGCTCGTGCAGACAATCTCGCACATGAAGCTGGTGGAGTTCCAGGGCGACCTGGAGGCGGTGCCCCCGCCGCCGCTTGTGTTGCCGCCCGCATCCGTGAAGGACGCCGTCCCAAGCCCCGACGTGCCGCTCGCCATCCTGGAGCACCGGCTGAACGCGGCGCGCGACCCCGAAGTGGCATCGCGCATCTTCGCCGACATCCAGACACTGCTGCAGGTGAGGTCGTGGCCGCCGTCTTCGCCCCCACCCCTACGCCTCCTATATACGTAGTCAACTGGGCATAGCCGGGCCTGCGTTTAACCCGATCGCACGAACTCTCGATGCGTCGTCCGTGCAGACGCGGAAGCGCATGGAGGAGGTGGTGAGGGGCGTAGTGGGGCTGTGCGCCGCCACTCCCGAGCAGGCCCAGCATCTGCTCGAGTCGCGCCAGGACCTGAACGAGCACGGCTGCTACCGCAGGGCCGTGACCCACTTCAAGAGCCGCTGCTTCAACTGGAGCGACCAGAAGGTATCCGCCGCTAGGGGGCGAGCGACTCGCGGCGACGCGTTACACGCGAGAAGGGATAGAAGACACGCGTTACACGCGAGAAGGGATAGAAGACACGCGTCACACGCGAGAAGGGATAGAAGACACGCTTCCCCCCACCTTCCCCACCCACCCGCTCCCACCCCAGTTGTTGACAGCGGAATTAGGAAGGACGTTGTGCCAAAAACTGGATTGGAGTAATACATGCATAAACGTGAACAGGGAAAATATTAACGGTCTCCAATTTGCTGTAACGAATTACAGGAAGTGATAGTTAATAAAGGTCTGCGAAGTGGGGCTCGAGATAAAACACGAGTGATACAAAGGTCGTGGAACGAAACGTGCGTGCACTCCTATGCGTACAGGTAGCGGACATCGAGGGTGGCGCGTTATCGCTCTTAACGATTCGTTCTGCCTGTGTGCGCGCCTGCAGTACCAGTACGCTCTGCGCCACTTGTATGTCCTGCTCAACATGTGCGAAGAAAAGATTCCCATCGGAAGGTGATTGTTAACTTTTGTGAATATCTAAATGAAGCCGGCGGTGTCTGCGATTGGACGCGATGCGCTAAAGGCAAATATCGGTACGGTAACTGTACTGCTGGAAGGTCGTCAGTTAGGGTTTTTAATTGCATTTTGTATCACGTGCTCATTGAGGTTGACCTACAACGGCCGTTCTGCGCTGTTTACTTCACAGAATCGAGGAAGCCATGGACAAGATGTGCCTTGCACTGTGAAGGGAAAAGCCAGAAGGAAAGAAGCTTGAGTTTAAATTGCAGTGAACTTTAAGATCAATGATTCAAGAATAATTATTCTGGTTAACCGTTGGGATGGGTTTCAGATTTGTAGTTTTTTTGGATATCAGGTTTGTGGATTCTTTGGCCCAATTTTAGATTTTATTTCCCACTTTCAGATTTACGAATTTAAACGTCTTCAACCGGCCCGACTTGTTTTCACACTCAATTGAATTTGTTGAATCACTTTTAAATACGAATCCTGTAAAATGTTAACATTAAGTTCCATCGGTAAAATGATAAAATTTAATGTAAACATTTTGATGTCACGTGATGGCGCTTTTGGCGGAAAAAAGCGGTAAATTGTGGACACTTCCTGCGACGTCACATTTACATATCCAGTCCCTCCTTGGCTTTTAGATTTTTTAAAAGATAAAAAAATAACTGGAAACAGAACCCTACCTTATAGTATTTAGTCTTATTATAAGATATACCACTGCTAGCAGTAGTTTATGTTTAACTTGCACATATGGCGTGAAACTTTAACGCTGACGGTTGTGCAATACATGAAAACCTTTACAATGAGACAAGAATGTGGATAGATCCTTTAAAAAAAGATAACACTGAGGTTCACCAGCCAAAAAGGTCAAACAGATGAATAACTTTCAGCATTCATTCAAAAACATGCTGCTAAATTGCCAGGATGGCTCTTGCTCATACAGTAAAACACCCTGCTGATGAGACCCAGAGAGTCGAAACCAATCCAGGGTTTGCCTCGCTCGCACAAACGGTGCTGGGCAACACTGCCCACCAAAGCTTTTTGGTTGACAAGACGACCTGTTATTTTATTTTTTACGAAGAAACATTCTGTTATTACCCACAATCCACAACGACAGCGTGTACTCGTGCGCGCGAGCATTTTTATGCCAGTGTGGTTTCCGCCTGTATGCGGAACCGTCCCACTCGTTGCGCATAGGTATTCTGAAGAAACTGCTGCACGCTGACTATTACTTGACAATGTTAAACCATGTTTTAACTTTCCTGTGAGCCATGTCCGATTCTGTTTTGTTAATCTCTTGCCATTTGCTTTACGATTACTCATTTTAAGTTTTGTGGTGTTACAAATCAAAATAAATATTTGAACTCAACCCCAACATTGCTACGCGGTGCTTTTTCAACGCAAAGAGATAAAAACGCATCCGCGAGTTATTCTGAATTGAGAAAAAAACAAACAAAAGAGACGCTCAAAGAGACATAAAAAAAACGGTTTACTTGCATACAAATTTTACATAGTGTTAAAAACAGTGCTCTACACACGATATTAACGATTAATAGCGCAGCTATTAGCTTTCAGAAACAGATGTGTGAAAGTTAAACAGTCCTTCAAGCCTATTATGAAGCCCATGCCGTACCAGTGGGCGTCATTTAACAGGGAGCCTGATCACAAGTTTTGTTTTATGCATTCTAATGAATACATACGGTACATAATAATGTGATGTCAACTACTCCACTTGCATCATTTGCTCTATATGTCACACGCGCAAGTATCGAAGCGCACACATGCAAGGCCACTGTAAAAAGCCACCGCCTTTTTAACTTCCCATCATTCCAACAACTGGCGCGTTGAACAAATAGGAATACGTGCCCTGACGGAGACTGCGATATTGCAATCAGTTAGGCCGGGGGGGGGGCGGGGGGGGCTCCTTGGACAGCTTCCCGATGCTGCAAGGCCACTTAAAGACTTTTCTCAGACCCACCGCACTTAACTAAACCCCTCTCGCTTCAAATGCAATTCGCAATGCATTTCTCATGACCCTTTATGAAATTTGCGATAACCCCCCCCCCATAAAATTGACGTACAGAGCGGTTGGCTGCACGGGAAATTAAATTGCCAATACTGCGTCCATGACTATGCCAGTTTTAGTTACTATAATAAAAAAATAAACTTTTTGGAACGATGTCTTTTCCTAGAAACCAGTGGTGCAATAAAAACTTTTATCAACGGCTGGGTAAAAAACATGTTGTCCAAGAGCATTGACAGCATTGGTATGCCCAGACCACATCTATAAACCCACCCCAAGACACATCATCACGTTTCCGGCACTTAAGATGCGACAGACGGTGGCCACAATAGTACTGAACATTTTTTTTGTTCTCGTAAATGCTGTGCTAAAAGTACCGAATGCTTTCCCGCCTTAAAATTACAAGATAACCCCACGTTTACGGAGGAAAGTTTACTTGATCATATCTCTCCTTACCCAATTGTCCTCCGAGAAGAACATCAGTGACACCTCAGATGCGATGCCTCCAATCTTACGTAACAATAACGACACTCTTTTGGACGTCTTATCGGTTTATATTACATTTTGAAGCCAATTGTTTTTTTGTTTAACGTCCGCCACTGTGGTGATCAAATGCCCTCGTCTGTAACGTCCAGTTTTTCCTACGGCGGTTGTTTATAAGCAGGCCTGACTAGTGATGAGCCTTGGAATGTCTGAAGTCTGTCCAGGGTTTTCCTCTTTAAACAACTGATCGAAAACACTGGCCTTGCAAGGTCTGCAAGCCCCTTGGAGACTGAAATGTTATCTTATATTTTTGTTGAGAATCAAACTCTCTCTTTTCCATCCTGAATATTTTTCGACAGTTTTTTCTTTCACTTTTTTCAGTGGCTGCCTGAACACTTGAACGTTCCAATAATAAATTTAACGAGGCCTTTTTTTCTGATTACCCAAGTTTGGTCCCATGCTCTGACAACATTACCAGGCTGTGCGGCACGTGTTACAGCTCGAAGCAGGTGTTGTTCACTGCCCCAAAATGAGATAATTATTTTTTAATCGAGAAGTGGCGCGTCGGGTTAGTGCACTGCGCGAATTCCAACCTGATAGAAGTTGTTATATCGCAAGATAAAAAAATCCCATTTATCCATAATATATACATTTAGTACACGATATCAATGCATCGTATATGCCAATATTGCCATATTGAGTATGCTGTCATACACTGATATAAGAGATCAATACAGTATACATAATATTAAAATGTCAAGTAAAAACACGATCTTAAGTAGACAGTATAATAGATTGTGCAGGTGAATGTTTATAAGACACATTTACCACATGGACAAAGGGTGATACAACTTACTAGACGAATTACAGACCAAATAGCGTCTTATCATGTGAACATAAATTGTTTAGGAAGATCATTGAGAACATGATGGTCAATTTAGAGGCCAACCAACCACAGGAAGTAATCTGCGTGTCAAATGTTTCTCTACCAGCTACCACACACACACGATCAGATACTAACAAATATCGAATACCTTTATGCCTAGCCATCGGAGACTTTAACAAAGCATTTATTCCGTGGGAAATTGATAAGTCATCCAAGCGTTCACAAAGCAGGGCCTAAATAAAAAATATTTAGATATAAAAAAAACATAAAAAATGGCACAGCAACGCTGAGATTCTGTGAGTAAGGTACTAAAATGCAAATGCAGAATGGAATGGAAGTCGGCTGAGGAAGATTGCTTCAGGGTGGAATTAGGATGTCTTCCAAAAATAGTAATAAAGCCGCAAACACAAATGATTGACAATATAATAAATCATTTCTAGATTTGAAGCTTTCGTGACTGCAAGGATCCATACTCTTTGGTTCTATTCGGTAAAGTCACGTAGGTAAAAAATAAAAGAAAACAAAAAATCACGACGTTTTGGCCACAACACAAGTGGCCTTCATCAGGTGAAGGGACCGTACTGTCCAGAGGACAGCGTTGGAGTGAAGACAGCCAAGCCCAGGTCGCGTCCTTTAAGCTTGTGGTCGCGGCGACTTTACCGAATAGAACCAAAGAGTATAATAAATCATCTCTGATGTGTTCAAGACACTATCGTCTCAACAATCGAATGCAAATGATCCGAAAGCAAATGAACCGCAGGATATGATTTGAGAACAACTTGGTAATGATGGCTGCATTGTTGGGTGCAAGATACATATGAGCAAAATAAAAGTTAACTTACTGTTGTATGAAGAGGTCTCCGTGCAGCAGTGGATACACCATGGCCGATTAAGAAGACTTAAAACATTGTGATGATGGTTCCGAGTTTAATCTCATTTCTGCTCAGCAAATGCGATTCAGATACAACCAAGGGCTTAGTTGGGATAATTGCTTATTCGGTAAGTGTCATATTGAACATACGGGACTTAAGGCTAAAAGAACGCCAAAGGAATATTAAATTCTCCCAAACACAGCTGTCAGCAGTGGCAGAGCATGCTTGCCAACAAGGACATTCAATGGATTTTGATAACGTTGAAGTGTTATGCAGAACTAATTATTACTGGCCAAGCTTAGTTATAGAATCAATTGAAATTGAGAATAATTCTAATAATTTTAATTGCTGTATTAGCTATAGACGCAGCCTGGAATCGTATTATTAAGCAATACACAACATTGCAATTCCTTACAGGTGAGTCACATGCTAAGTGGCTGATTACTCATCTATTACATAATTGCATACACTCCCACCTCCGATCTCGAATCCTGATGGGGTTCAACAATGATGACGTCATCATGCACTATTTAATACCGGAAGCAGGTGGATGGCTTCACTATTCTGGTAAATCGCACGAAGATGCTGGATGTAATTTCCAGCGAAACGTCGTACTCAAATTGTAAATGTTGTGGATCCACTCTTCAACACACCGGTGGGCTAAAGTAGTGAAATATTTGTATTTTGTCAACGTGACACATTTTTTAGTGATTGGCCGTGTCGGGTGGTGGAGGGTTGCGACGCATTTATAAGTAACGCGATCAAACCCAACAACCTTTATTATGAAAAGTTAGGGCATCGATTAAAGTTGTCAGATATGATCGATATTTTATTTTTCAAATAACTCGGCTACTTGATCAGAGATGGGGTTAACATATGTCCAGGAGAAAATTACACAATATGCCACTCCATGACATTTGGTGGCACTTGACAATTTAGTACAGTATTGAACTTATTTTGGCCACAAAAAAAGATAGAGTACAGTATTGTAATTGCTCTATATTTATATAGCTTATATTGAATAATTAGTGCTTTGCTCAGCAAGGTTCTTAACTTTAAAAATCAAATTAACTTAAGAATTGTTCTAAGTTCGTATTCAAGTAATTGTTTTTTTTTAAATCTTGCTCACCTGTGCTCCAAAGCCAGCTCAGGCCCACAGAAGAAGCCATAAATAGGTAAAATGTACATCTACTGATACTAAGCAAAATAAAATTGCCACGAAATATGGAATGCTACCACTGTTACGCACTCAAGTACAAAGGGCTCTATCTCTCGGCCAGCAATGGACAATAATTAATTCCTTGCTCCCCACAGAGTTTACACATTTGTATTGTTGTCACCAGATACGCACCAAAGATGTCGTAATTACTTGTATCGGAGTGTGAAACAAGATGGTAAAACTGTAAACAAGAGCCGTGGGGAGCACGAGGAATAGCATTTTGAAAAACGTAATGGCAGGATGCAGACGAATATTTGCAGAGGCGAGGGGAGGTGCTGGCAGAGCCAGTCGTGGACTTTTCATTGCAGACTTACGAGTAAATATTACCGCGTTCACGATTGGCAATGTAAGTGTCGCGCTACAAAACTATCCCACAATAATCGACACATCGGCAACGACGGTGGGGAAAAACGAGGCAGTGATGACAGCTGGGACCGTCAGGGGATGTGTCCAAAGCTACGGCCACCAGCGAACAGCAACGGTGCACGAACGCCCGGCGATGAACTCGCCGCTGCCAACGGGCATCTTATCGCGCCTCCTTCGCCCGTGACGCTCGTGAGACGTCGCCGCTCGCGAATACACAATCTTAATTTAGACTGAAGGAATCCGATGAGCTGTGAAGCTCTTTTTTCACAGATGGCCCAATAAGATGAAAGCGAGGTCACACTCTGGCCAACGCGATGTCGCGTTCGCCAAAGCTGTCCACGTGACCGGGCACCATGGCCCTGCGGGCAGATGAGCGAATCCCAATGCTGTCCGCACACCCCTGGCTCGGATCGTGATGTCGCGGTCTCTCTCTGGACTGCATCGTATTCTAAGTACATGGGAACTCCACAATGAGGTCACAATTCAAGTGCGTTCATAGTGCCTCCGTTGCTTAATTCTGTGCGTGTTAAAACACACGTGGCTAACAGTGGCTCACTTCTTTTTGTCAAGTTACAGGGCACCGCAAAAAGGGAGTAGAGTTTAAGAGTCACGAATAATGAACTGCGTTTCCAACGACCACTTAAGAAACAAGACCGGAAGCCGTGCTGGGTCACTACATGGATGGCGTAGGACCACTTGGGTTTTGTCTCAATGTTCCATAAGCCACGCGCGGTCTGTGAACTTGGCCCCTTCCCCTTCGTCCCCCACACAACCCCCTCCACCCTTCCCAACCACGGTCCGAAGGAAACAGTGGGTTCAGTTGTGGTATCAAAAACAACTTCAAGTTATTTAGTCCGAAACACAACCCTGCAAGTTGACCTAAGCGAGAGACGCCAACGATCGCCGGCTTGTCTTCTACGTTGACCCCGTGAGATCACGACCGTTTTTCCAAGGGCAAAGGGACCCTTACGTGGGCCACTGACAGTGAGCCACGCGGCCCAGTTGGTGGCTGCTGGCTCAGCCCGGCAAGGCTGCCACGGGAATCCAGGTCAAGCTCAATTAGGCCCGGTCCGTGAACCGGGCCGGGTCACTTCCCAGTGGTCAATGGAGTAGGCGCCAGATCGCTCTTAAATCCATACCTCCCGCCTCCTCCGTGGTGCAAACCTCCCCGACAGGGGCCTCCTCAGGGCCCAGGCGAGGGCAGGGGGCTGGTGCCCAGGCGGCGGTAGATGAAGAAGAAGGGCTGCAGGCGCTCCTTGCTGTGTAGCTCGGCCTTGATCTTGAGCGGGTGCGTGTCCCCCGCGAGCTGTTGCCACGTGCCGTCCACCAGCAGGAAAAGGCCGAAGTTGGCCGGGTCCGGCACGCGGAACTTGTCAGCGCACAGGCGGGACACCTCGTCCGTCGTGGCGTACGGATGCGTGGACAGGGTCTTGCCCGTGCAGCCGCTGTCCTGGAAAGCCACGCGGATGAAATTCTGCGGGGGGGGGAGGGGTGGGGGGTAAACAAGCATAAATAAACCCGGTTTGAAAAATGGAACTTGATCATGTTCAGTTCGTTCATGACCTAATCACCCAGAATGCTTTCCATCTCATTCGATCTCAGAAGCTAAGCAGTGTTGAGCCTCGATAGTGATTGGATGGGGACCCACCATGCATAATCATGCATAACCAGGCTGTGTGGACACGCAATGGACAGCAGAGGGCGGTGCAGCAAAATCCACTGTTGTACTGTGCTTCTACGCTTCCATGAAAACGCTGCCTGTCGTCACCAAACTCGCACTGACCAGCGTGGCGACGTATGGTCAAGCAGCCCCACGACCTGCATGTAAATCGAGGCCGTCATCCAGCAGCGGATGGGCAAAAGGGAATGCACGTGCGATTACGCGAAGTTGCGAGCATTGCACCTGAATGTCATCAAAGGAGGGCAGGTCCTTGTTGTTGACTGTGCGCCGGCGATGCCACTGCCGCAAGGAGTCGCGTGCGTCCGTCTTGAGCCGCCATCCGGCCTCCTCCTGGTGGTAGTTCTTGAGGAGGAAGAGGGCCCCGTACACCGTTGTCAAATAGTAGCCCCCTGGAGACCACGAAACGCACGCACGCATGCACGCACGCACGCAGGGACGCACGGATGCAGAGACGTGCGCACGCAGGGACGCAGGGACGCACAGACATGCAGCAGTCGTCACCATAGGTTCCGGCTCAAGAACATCCCGAGAGAGAGCGTTCAAGTTCTTGGAGCTCTGCTACAGATTCCCGCGGAGCTAATTACGCGCTCACGCCACTGCTGCTGGAAGGGCCTCCACACCTCTAGCGGGGGCGTGTGGGGAGCCAGAGGTTATTGTGGCTGACTCTTCCACGCTGGCCAGGCGTCGCGGAAGAGGTGGTGGTCTCAAAGGTCACCCACGACCTTTGAGTTGACACACTCGAGTCTGCACACTTGCCCTTAACAAATTCTGAGAGTACAGTGAAACCTTGGATTGCGAGCATAATTCGTTCCGGAAACGTGCTCGTAATCCAAAGCACTCGTATATCAAAGCGAATTTCCCCATAAGACAATGAAAACTCAGATAATTCGTTCCACAAACCAAAAATACTGTATTCATATAAAAATGATTAATACAAAATACCTTTTTATATTTTTATTATTAAAATTTAATATAAAGTAATCAAATTTATTATTTACATTTAATCGTGGCTGGTGTGAGGGAGACGAGAGAGAGGAGAGGAGGGTTATTGTGTAGGACGACTTTCACTTGCAGTAAAGTTACTAAAGAACAGTCACTACACTTGGACACAATAAAAAAAATGCTTTACGCACACGCACGTGGTCACAACACTACAGTACTGTAGTAAACAGTATACACGTGGTCACAACACTATAGTACTGTAGTAAACAGTATACACGTGGTCACAACACTATAGTACTGTAGTAAACAGTATACACGTGGTCACAACACTATAGTACTGTAGTAAACAGTATACACGTGGTCACAACACTATAGTACTATAGTCAACAGTATACACGTGGTTACAAGACTATAGTACTGTAGTAAACAGTATACACGTGGTCACAACACTATAGTACTGTAGTAAACAGGATACACGTGGTCACAACACTATAGTACTGTAGTAAACAGGATACACGTGGTCACAACACTATAGTACTATAGTAAACAGTATCTGCTCGCACGGATGTTGACTATACGAGTGAGGCACGCCGACTGAGACCGAGCATGGGAGATGATTACCCACAATACCGCAGCGAGAGAGAGAGAAGAAGCATTGGCTCAGTTGTGATCACGTGACGCTCGGCAGACAATGCGTATACTGTACGTACTGCTTGTATTGCAAGACAACGCTCGTTTATCAAATTAATATTTATTAAAAATTTTGGCTCGTCTTGCAAAACACTCGCAGACCAAGTTACTCGCAATCCAAGGTTTCACTGTATAATACTACTACTGGCCTCATGTCGGCACCAATCTCACTCCTTCCAATGGCTCTCGTAAGCCACTAGAGGCCATGATGCACCGGATAAACTTTAGCCTAAAGGTTGCACTGCCTCGCATTTTTTTTCCCCATTGTCAAAATTATCTGTTGCCAAAATCTGGACAAATATGATCGCTACCCCCCTTGTGGGCACCTGGGGTGGCAGTTTCAACAAACTCTTGTTTTCATTATCTGGACAGACGTCTGTCGTTCTATGCCACTGCCATACCACTTTTTCACAGTTGCTCATTGTAAAAGCACTGCTGGTGAGGATTGTGGGTGAGGATTGCTGGTGACGAATCCCAGGAATGTTCCCTCGTGTATAAATCTGCCCTTCAGTTGTGTGCTTGGCATGATAAATAAGAATGTTAACAACTGACTGTTGGGTCTTCCCGAGTATGGCTGAGTGGCAGGGCACAAGCTAGTTGTACCTTCTTCATATCTAAACCTGCTAGGTATGGTGCGAAAGAAGTTCAACATATTCTAGGTAAGGAACTATCTCATCAAGAAGATGACAGTCCACATACATTCCAGTTCCCGAGAGCTGACGGCTCCTGAGCAGCTAACTTTAGGACTGGTCTCACGATCAGCTGTCGAAACATCCGGATATTAAATTGCCATGGTTGGAGAGGCAGCTTCTCGGCGAGATCTTTCCTTCACCATGACGGTTTAGACAGTCCCAGTCCCGACCGCCATAATAAAGGCACCTTCTCCGCTGAGCAGCGAGGGGTCGAGCAGCTCCATCATGTACTCCACTTCCATGTCGAGGAACGGCATGTCGCAGCGCGCCAGCACGTACATCAGCACCGGCATGAAGTCGTCCGCCCCAAACATCGTGCCTGTGCATCGGCACCGAATCGACCAATCGGTGAACACAAGCGCAAGCGTTACCTGCATGCCCCGTTCCATGCGAGACTTCTCATTGATTTTTAACCTGCCCCCGACCCCCCGCCTAGACCATCAACGCAAAGTGGCGACCATCCAGGTCATTAGTTGGCTCGGTTCTCGTCCAGCAGCGAAACGAACCATGGCTGACAATTATAAATGGCACGGGACTGTGTCCCAGGCAACAGATAAATTGAACTGGGGCGCAGCAATTTCGCAAAATCATAAAACGCTCATTCCGGTTGACAACCGCACGCCAACGAGCGAGCACGGAACCCGCCGATGATCGCTGTCGATTCCACGCGGGCACCGGTGCGGCGGGTCCCGCAGAGTCTAAACTATTTTTTTTTATTTTAGCAGGTAAGGTCGTGCTTTTGCAGAAGCTACCCGGCCACAAACGATAGCTCATCACGTGGAAATTTAAAGCGGCCAAATACTCTGGAGAAAAATCCACGTGACCACGGGGAGAACATGCAGACAAATAAACAGCAGGTGTCGGTCAGCGTCGAACCCAAGACCCCCTGCATACCGGGTGAGGTAGTTAACATCTTGCCACCATGGCGCCCTTACCAAGGCCGCTTCCCATGGCGTCGTAGATGAACTTGCACGCCTTGAGCAGCAGCAGCACCTTCTTGGAGGGCGAGTAGGTGGCGTGCATACGCGCCAGGGTGACACGGATCCGCTCAAGGCAGGCGGCGTCTGGCACGTTGGGGAGACGTACCGCCGCCCCTGCACCGGCCCCCCCGGCCGCTCCCCCGGCCGCTCCCCCGGCGCCAACGCCGCCGCCGCCGCCGCCGGCCCCGAAGTCGGCCAGACTGCTCTCGCGGGCGAGCTGCAGGTTCTCGCGCAGGCGCCGCGCGCTGCCGTCCACCGAGCGGAAGTCGCGCATCCACGCGTCCACCTGGCCCTTGAGCGGCTTGAGCAGGCACTTGTGCAGGGCTTTCTCGACGACCGCGTCTGCGTGGAAGGGACGGGGGTCGAGATGCCAAGGCCGAAGTCGGTGAGACCGGCCGGCAGAAGGGAAACGTACGCGAGCGTGCTCGGGCACGCGACGATGCTGACTCGTGGCTTGATGTGGAGTTTTATGATGCCGTCACACACGGCAAATTGCGCACGTTAAGAATTGATCTATTCATGACTGGTGAATGTCGTGTGTGGGGCGGAGAGGATGGCATAGTAGCTAGCGCGCCGAGCTATGGATTTGGCGACCCGAGTTGGATACCCGGCCATGTACCTATGACAGTCTGGCACACACATTGGTCACCCATATGAGCACTATCCAGGCTTATTCCTGCTTAGCTTCTGAGATGTGACGAGATCGGGGCTCGTTCTGGGCCATTTGAGGTGATGTTATACAATCCAGTTGAATTTTTTTTACGACCCGGAATATGAGCATGATGATTCATCCGGAGGGCTCTGCATCTCGCTTTACCGATGTCGCTGTCGGGAATGAGCGACTCGATGGGCGGATCAAGCTCGTGGGTGTGCAGCAGATAGGCCTTGAGCTGGTTGAGGAGCTGCCGGACGGCCTGCAACATGTCTGAGCTGCTCTGGTAGTTGTTGCCATTCTCCTGCACACGCCGGGCAGAGGTGGAACGACACGACAATTGGCAAACACCAGCGCTTTATCTACGGAAATAAAAGTAAGTCAGGAGCGAACAGAAGAGATAAGAACAAATGGGGCTCGCCGAAGCTGCAGTTAAAACAATGTAAAACAAGTGGAAATGGGCAGGACACGTCGTGAGAAACAGCTGACGAGAGATGAGGCAAGCGTAACCATGGGGTGGAGATTGAGAGAAGGCAGAAGAATCAGGGAAAGTTAGCGGAAGAGAATGCAGTGAGATGAAATCACAGAATTCGGAGGCCACTACCAGACAGCAGCAGCGAAGGAAAGGAAGGGATGGAAGAGAATAGGGGGAGGCCCTTTGCCCAGCAATGGAGAGGAAGAGGCCCGCAACAACAATAACTACAGCGACAACAGTGCTGCAATGCCACACCGAGCGATGGTCTTGCCCCACCCTATCTTGCTTCTCTCATATATTACCACTCTATTCCATCCCGTCCTCTACACTCCCAGCCTTGCCTGTGCCTCTCTGTGTCTCCCTCGCCCTGCGCCCAGTCACACTCTCGTTACCTTTCCCTTCTTGCTCCCCTTCACTGGAACCAACTTCCACCGCACCACAGAGAGACATCATCTTCAATGGAATATGGGGCTTCTGTTCTTCCCTGAAAATCCACCTCTTCTCCTTAGCCCATCATCCTGCTACTGCTACTCCCCGTCCCCCAGTTATGACCAGGCCTACCCCAACCCCTAAGACTACCCCCCTATCACTACCACTATCACTACCCCTATCACTACCACTATCACTACCCCCCTATCACTACCACTATCACTACCCCTATCACTACCCCCCTATCACTACCCCTAACACTATCACTACCACTATCACTACCCCTATCACTAACCCCCTATCACTACCCCTAACACTACCACTATCACTACCCCTATCACTACCCCCCTATCACTACCACTACCCTTATCACTACCCCTATCACTACCCCTATCACTACCCCTATCACTACCGCTATTACTACCCCCCTATCACTACCCCAATCACTACCCCTATTACTACCCCCCTATCACTACTCCTATCACTACCCCTATCACTATCACTACTCCAAATGCTACTCCATGCCACTACCCCCCAGCTATGACCAGGCCTACCCCAACCCCTCCTTAACCTCTGCCACCTGTCCTCCTGTCACCATCACGACACCACCACTTTTAATGACAACCCCACTCTTTATTTCAACCACTATCATCTTAAGTACAATTAGATTTTTGTTGTGAAGTGCCTTGGATTAAGGGGCTATATAAATGTACATGAGATGATCCATCCAGAGGGCGATAAAATCGAACCAGCGACCCCTGGATTTGCAAGTCCGATTGTTTAAAATTGTTTTACCAGGTAAGGCACCACCGAGCTAGACTGCCCTTTTTCAGAAGCGACCTGGCCACAAATGATAGCCCGACAAAGTGGCCTATCATGTGGAATTGTATAGCAGCTAAATACTCTAAACACATGTTTCTAAATGTGGAGGGAAGACCCGGAGGGCCCGGTGAAAAATCAACGCGACCACGGCGAGACCATGCAGACTCCAAATATAAAGGCGTCAGGATTGGGATCGAACCCACGACCTCCTGCATACCAGACGAGGTAGTTAACATCTCCTAGCCACCGTGGACCTCCAACGTGCTCACCATTACCCTCGGCAGCGTGTGGATTACAAGACCCTCCTGACGAGACATGGCGGGTACCTGTATGAAGGTGATGTAGTCCTGCAGGAGAGAGCCAAAGTAGGAGCGCTTCTCCTGCGCCAACTCCACAATCTTGCGCACGACGCGCCGCTCCGGCGTGAGCAGCAGGTGCAGCACCTCGCTGAACTTGCGAAAACTCGAGCGGACTTTCCCTCGCAGCGCCAGCGCGGTGGAGCGGCGCAGCGCCGGCGGCGTCTGGTAGCTGCTCTCGGTCTCGTCCACCTCCAGAACTTCGCCGAACATGCCTTCCTCCTCCTCCTCCTCCTCGTCGTCCTCCTCCTCCTCCATGCTGCTCATGGAGGCCGAGTCGAGTTCGGGGATGGCGGGCACCTTCCCGGCGATGAAGTCAAACAGGCTCTGGTCGTCGCTGAGCAGCTCGTTGCTCAGAGTGTCCGAGCCCTGGTCGTCCGCCGGAGAATCGTTGCCGTTCGTCAAGAAGCAGCTCCCGCTGAAGGCGTGCGCGGAGGAAAGCGGGACCCGGTAACCCGTTGGCGTGTCCACGCTCTCCGACTCCTGCCGCTCCCGGGGCTTCTCTTCTGACGGGGCCCTCTCCAACTGCGCATGATCGACGTGGTCCATCACCCAGCCCACCTTGGCCACCCTGCCCTGCGTAGACAGCGGTTTCTTTTCAACGGGCGAGCTCGACAGTTTCTTCAGTCTGGGCGGAGGCACCGGCCTCACCATCGGCGCCTTCGGGACATCGTAGCTGCCGCCGCAGCCGCCTCCGCCAGCGTGGCCGTTCACGTCGGGCGGCTCACGGCGCGGGGGGACGACGCCGGAGTCGGACGAGCCGGCTCGGTGGGTGGCGGCGTCGGCGGCATCGTCGTTTTCTCCCGAGAGCGAGTGCCGGAGGTCGTTGCCGTTGCGGGAGCCCGCGCCATCATTGGAGCTGCCCTGGCGGCGGGGAACGGGTGGGGGCGGGCGCGGCGGCGGGGACAGTTGGCTCGTGCCGGTCTCCGTGGAGACCCGGACGCCCCCGGCAGAGCGGCTCCAGGCGCGGCGCAGCGAGGCCCCTTCCGTGTGCTCCTCCAGGAAAAGGGGGTTGATGAAGCAAAGGGCGCGGCCCTTGGGCGTGGCGAGCTGAGAGGGCGCCCGCGTGCGCACCGACAAGCTCCCGCCCGTGCCACCGGTGTCGGTTGTGCCACGCTCGGCCTTCCTCTGGTTGCGTGAGGAGTTCCAGAACTCTGGAAGAGAAAATAAAAAGTGTGTTTTTGGGAAAAATGGAAGGAACCAGAACGAGAGGAAGACCTCAGAGAGAATGGCTTCCTGGTGCCAGAAAGATGTTGCACTACTTGAGCATATTGGCAGACAGAGGAAAGTGGAAACAAATTACGAAATGTGCAGTGGACACCCACGGGCTATTTGCCTATGGATCGTGATGATGATGGAAGAAAAAGAGGCGCCACAAATCCACCGCGCGGTCACTTTCACGGAATTATTTTGGCGAGACACCGTCGGCGTCACAGTTAAATCCCGCTGCCTCCGTCCACCCCTTAGTATAAATGGGCAACACCGCAGTGAGTCGATGGGGACGTCCACTGCTTCCAAGTTGTCTGGCCAGCGTGGAAGTGCAGGCCAAATACCCTCTCTTCTAACAAAAATTGATGACCTGCCTCCCTTCTGGACACCTGTGAAATAGAACTTCACAGCTCATTGGATTCCCCCAGTCTAAATTAAGATTCTCATTGTCTGTCTGGATGGTGGGCAAGGGTAGGCCCAAAATGCATCCTAGGCCCGGCTCTCTCGAGCACTCTCATCGTCAGCAGTGGCACGGGCAAGAACTTGCAGCCCTGCGCCTTTACGGTCAGCAATGTGTCAGTTTAATTGCGCGAGTACAGCATGTTTAACGATAGGCACGTGAAAGTTCACCGAGATAAGAGTCTCTTTGGCAAAGAAGGTGTGGCATGTGGTGTATGGTATAGAATGCGATGGTGAAAAAGGAACAATGATAAGAGACATCGAGATAAACAAGAAAACCACGTACATCAGGGAACACTTATTGTACACGCAATTCCCACCACGAAAGAATCCTTCGGGCAAATATTTCCCACAGATATAGGTGAAGTGGTGCGCCCAACAAAAAGAACGTGAAGAGAAATAATTTGTAAAACTATGAATAAGCTGTGAAATACACAGGTAACGAAACGTGTAAACCCTTTTCTAACAACGTCTACCAATTTGTATTCACGATGCGCAAGCAACGTAAAACGGTCTCCATATTGTCACTACGCGAGTACAAACAAAGGATAAAAACTTGGAATACTTTCACAAACGTGAGTTTAGAATTGGTGCGGAAATGTGACACACGCTCTATCATACATTCCCATGGCCATCTCCAAGCAATAACCTCGGTTTTTATCCTTTGAACGTCACAGCGATTTACTGGGTGGTAGTAATTAACAAATAAATCAGCAACCCGAATGGCCCCTAACGGGCTGTGACAGGGCTAACGATAGCATTGCCGGCGCACGCACCTATTCCCAGGTGAGAAATGGCCTCCAGCTCCTTGGCGGACGTGGCGGCGTCAATGGCGTGCGGCAGCTTGAGTGTGAAGGGCAGCACGTCCCTGCGGGGGCACGGCAGGCACTCGGACTCACAAAACTCACGCCATCAGCAGGCCCCGTGAAACACACAACAAGCCAGCCTCTCGGGTAAATTCTCTTTGAAAAAGGCTGCCCACCGCCTTCCCACACCCATCCCCTCCGCAACACCCCACACCACCCTCCCCTGAGTGTCCCGGCGCTACGCATGAGTCGTATTAACGCTGCAATGACAACGCGCCGCTCCTCCTGGCTAGGGTTTGCCACCTGTTGTCTCGGTTGTACCGAGGAACGTTCTTTTTGTTGACGCAGCTGTTCTCGGAAATCTGCGTACGTCTCCCCAGGATGTTAAAGTCCTGCGGTTTTTTTTTTTTTGGCAGTTGCGAAAAATAATACACCGCTCGAGACGATCTCCTCTCCCGTGTCCGCCCACCAAAGTCAAGCGGCCTTCCGGTGGCGAGCGCATCTTAGCGATGGCAGGTTGCCCCGCAGGCGACATCTGGCGCAGCGCAGGGGCCGTCCTCGAGGGGTGGGCAGAGCAAGAGGTGTCGCGCCGTCTGCCTCTCGCCACAGCCGCAGCGGTCGCATTAAAGCCCTCTGCTCTTGCGGGGTGGCCAGTTTGGATCTTGGCTTGCCGACTTGGGCGCGAATTCGGTTCGGGATGATGTATTTAAATGGAGTCTCCCTTCCCCAACCTGTCTCCTGGTATTGCGAGACACTCTTCGGCTTCGCACGATGCGTCCCTGCTTGTTGTACTGCGCCTACTCACAAGTGGCAACCCTGCACTAGGCCTGCTGGGTAACCGCAGAGCGTGGTGGTCACCTAAATACGCTGGATTACAGGACAGCTTAGAGCATCCGATAATCACAATTAATTAATATGCGAGGTAGATAAAGCGTTTTATGCCTAAGAGGTACAGTCAAAACATCACAAAATCGCTAACAGTTACGAGCGAACTTCAGCCTAACATCAATACAATGAAAATACAATTACTGTAGTCAACATAAATAAGGCACATATTTTCGAAATAAGCTTAACATGAATACTTATAGATATTTGTAAATACAAGGCTGAATGAAGCCCATCCCTGAATGTCTGTCATGACAGTTGTTTGACCATACTTCACCACGCTTGTCAGTGCACGATGGTGAAGGGGGCGGGAGCCAGAACCGGTTCAGACAGTACTCGCTACTGATATCAGCCATGGCCAGGTATCAAACTTAAGTTTTCCAGGTTCATAGCGCAGTGCGCTAACCATCGTGCCACCACCGCTTTGGTAGGTAGACCATTTTTTTTTAACAATGTGAACATAAACCAACTCAATTACGCAAAGTGAAGGATACAGATTCAAACTTATTCTGAGCAATATAAAGACCTCAATCAACCAGTCCATGGCCACAAACATCAACGTGTTTTCAGTGTTAGCCAGCTGTTAATGTTTCCACGCATTCTTTGCATGCACTAAATGAGGCGTAAAACAGCGCCGTGTTATTGGTGGACTACGAGTTTGCAAACCCACCTGCTTACACAGTAGAAGGCAACGAGGCGGAAGAGGTCGGCAAAACTAATACTGGATCCCTCCAGAGAGAAAGCTTTTATAACAACAGGGGGAGGAGGGGGTTGGGGGGGGGGGAGAAGAAATGAGATTTTTTTTTTTAAATACGACAACACTTTTGTTTGTTTGCTCGTCCGCCGCAAAATTTCGTGAAAAAAAGACAACATTTCGTCAAAACATTTCAAGAGCTTTTGCTATCGCGGGTCGATAGCGAAGCGCCAGAGGTCACGAGCGAGCGACACGGACGATATCGGCGCCAAGCAAACAGCAGCGGGCGGCAGTAACGAGCGAGGTCGCCAGGAAGACCACGCACGCATTTCCCCAGAACGCTACATAAAAAAGAAAAGTCACATTTGCTTTGCATCAACCAAGTGGAATAGCATCGGTGTCAGTGCCGGATTATCCTAGTAGGAAAAGTAGCTACACATGCTATGGGCCAGCACTTTCAAGGGCCCCGCGCTAAATGCTTTCAAGCTATCAATTCCGGTTCAGTGATTCTGCACCTGCTCTATTACTATAGTACTATACCGAACGACTAGGTGTTTAAGGTGGGCGATTTGCCGTATTATCTGGTTGTATAGAAAAAATACAATTACTTTACTATGCAAGTAAAAAAATGTGTGTTTTAATATTTGTGATTTTCTTATTTGGGGACCCTTTATAACACATAATACAGGCCCCGCACTGGCTTAATCTGGCACTGATCACTGTTGTTGAGGTGCAGGATACGGCGAGCGAGGCTCTTTGACGATTCGTGTTGACCTGGAGGAGGAACGTCAAAATCCAAATTTACCATATTCGATAATTACATGACAAACCTACTCAATCGGGACTGTACGTAGCAATCGTCACCCCATCCTGGCAGACCGATGCCCCAGGTCACTCTTGTAAATGGGACACACCCTGGTCTCATTTAGTTCACAACTGGTTAGACAAAATAAGATCTAACCAACAACTCTTGTTATCTGGGTCGGACCCGAGATGGACCCGACTGGATGCTGGCATGCCGGCAGATTTCACTCTGCGAAGCACCATCTGGCCGGAAACCAAAGCCCCTAAATCTCCAAAATAAAACTTAGCATCGCGGCGTTAACATGGGGGAAACTGTGACTGACAGGACCCCTGTGGAAGTGTATCGTCTCACTGTTTCCAGCCACTCACTTGACTGCGTTTCGATGATGGCAAAGTCTTTGACGAAGCAGGATCCTTCCTCGCTCGAGAGACGCACGGAAAGAATCTTCTTCTGAATGGTGGATGATCTTCTCACTAAAAATGCCTAGGTTCAATACAAAATGCAACATATCAGTCAGAGGGCATGTTTGACCATACTTCACCATTCTGGTCAGTGTGGGAGTTGGTGAAGCGGGGGTGGACTCAGGACCAGCACTGATGTTAGCCATGGCCGGGATTCGAACTCAGGAATGCCGTGTGTTTACGAGCAGTAAGCCAAACCGCTTCAACCCACCGCCCGACCTCAGGACAAAATAGGGTGCAAGATCTCTCGCACAGCAATGCAACCTTCATTGTTTAGAGAATGTCCCGCAGAAGTGGAAATCTCAGAACTTCTGAAATCGCTACAAGCGAACGCCGGCACGCGCAGCAGGGGGAATCACTTTCTCGCCTGACCTCCGAGCCAGCGGGCCATCTTTTAAAATTATCTAACATATAGCGCAATCTGGCCCATTCATACGACGGCAAACTTAGCTCAGCGGGAGGTCGCTCATTCTCCTGCCCCCCCCCTCTCCCCCCCTCCCCCATTGAGTGGAACTCTCTTCCCCCAGCAATCTGCGTGCGCCTCACCCCACAGGGCTCCCTCTGCAGGATGTGCATGGCCTTGGCGGGGTTCACGGTGAGCTGCAGCCACACGGGGTGCGAGAGGATGAGGCGGTCGAGAACGCTGATGTTGCGTCGCGACGGCTGCCGTGGCAGGCACCAGGAGCGCGCTGGCGGGGGCCGCTCCTCCAGCTCATCGTAGTCGGGCTCGCAGCCGGACTCGTCCATCATCCTGCGAAGCGATGGACGGATTGCTCAATGTCAATTTGAAGATCGCATTCACCATCGTCAATATGCCCAGTGGCACCGCTCGTGCCTGCTTCCTCCGTCTCAGATCACTGCCACCTCCACACATGCCGTTTTCTTTCCTCTCAGCTCGCTCTTCTCCACGCACTTCTCCTACCTCTGCCCTCTCCATCTCACTCTACTCACCTCCACACAAAGTGCAACCTCTCACCTCTACTCTTACTCTACTCTTCTCCACGCACTTCTCCTACCTCTGCCCTCTCATCTCACTCTACTCACCTCCACACAAAGTGCAACCTCTCACCTCTACTCTTACTCTACTCTTCTCCACGCACTTCTCCTACCTCTGTCGTCTTATTGTACTCCCCCACACAATCTCCCACCTCTCTCCTCTGATCTCATTCTCCTCTCATCCACGTACTCTCAGAGCTCTCCACAAAATGAGATTTCTGCATCTTCGCTTCTTCTGCCCCTATTGTGGAATTCCTTTCACTCAGCCATCCGTGCTGTGGACTCCCTGTCGCTTTCCAAGTCCAGACTCTAGACGGTCCTTTTGTCCTCTGCCTATGATGGACTGCCTCTCTCAATAACAAAAAAAAGCCTACTCTCTTGGTACAGAAGGTTGAGATGAAGTCACACGTAAACACTATATAAATCAAAACCGTACAGACGAAATTCGAAGTCACCCGATTACAAATCCAAACGAGTCGTCACCTGCTGTCCGCTTTATGCCTTTGGGGCTAAACCAACATTGAGCACCTGTCAGGGCTGACACAACACGCAAGGGGATGGATGGTTGGGCGAACACCCCACCTGGTCATTTATGTCCGGCTCCGTCTCGCGTTGGTGTTGATTCATTTTAGATTAGTTGACCTAGGGGAGGCCCCTAGATTGGCAGGTGAAGGAAAATAACCACAGCTGTCGCCGAAGCGCACGGTTTGAATAGGAATCACACGCGGGGAGATTGGAACTGCTGCACAGGTGTGTGGCAATTTCAACGCGGATTGCTCTTGCGCTTTGACACGCAAGAACGGACACGCGCCCGTCCGCACGTAAACTTTTACAACGATGGAAAAACACCGCCGGCAGGACCGGCGCAAGTCAACACAACTCAGCACACGCGAGCAATACTGTGCGCCGCAAACTCGCATAGTTTAGATGGAGTGCTCTTGCCAATAACATCTGCTATGCCAGCAGCATTTGTTTAATAAGCCTGACTCTGCTGATTAGTATTATTATTGTTCTTATTTTACCCAGGAAAGCCTCATTGAATCTAATTATTCTTTTTTCGGGAAAATTCTGCCAGATTTTTGCAGTAGGGGACAACAAATTTCATGCATTTTTTTTTATTTTGCAAAAATTGCACCATAACGGTCGGGCACACATCGGCCTACTCTTACAAATGACATTACGGGATCTTTAACGGTCAGTGTAGTATATTCACGGTTCTTACACCTGCAGTATTAACCAGGAGCAGTTGCTGGATTCGAACCGGGAGCCTCTGCAACAAGCGGCGAACGCGCTAACACTGCGTCACGTCACTGATGAGACTCAGAAGGTCGAAACTGGTCCAGAAAAACGCTGCTCGATAATGTTAAAGTGGAAAAACGATAAAGGACTAAAAATATCTTCTATTTATATTTGGGAAAAGACCACAGTTATGATTATTTTCACCATGACATTAAAGCAGTGGTCAGAATGCATGTGGAGAAGGTGTCATGGTCAGACTCAAATAGAATTACGAAGGCAAGGGCACACACGCCGCTTGAACAACCTGCAGGGAACACGCAAGATGGAAAAGGCATTAAAAATCACTTTACCTCTGAAGTTTACTGGGGCCAGAAGTGACTGCCATTGCGGAGGAGTCTTCTGACATCAACGTAAATCCTGAAAATTAAACAAAAGACGTTAAAATGTCATTATCATTAACATCCAAACAGGAATGCGGGTGATGAGCGGTAATGCATTTAAATCGATGACCAACTATCTGTAACGAACCCCAGTTTCGTGATGGGCGGATCGAGTGTGATGGAGAAACGCGCGTGGATGCCCAACACTTCTTCCGAGACGTCGTCTGGCAGGCATGGAAGAGTAGGCCAAAGTACTCTCTCTATGGAGAGAGGTGCTCTCAAGAGCGCCCTCTAGTGGAGGCCTATCCTACAGCAGTGGCAGCAGCAGGACAGCTCAGGGCTGCTCCTTTACCTTTTGCTCATTTTATATAAATACATTATAAAAATGAGTAATGTTTCATTTGTACCGTAATGTTAGTCATTTAACAATAAATACAATTACAGTAATACCTTGGATTGCGAGCATAATTCGTTCCGGAAACGTGTTTGTAATCCAAAGCACTCGTATATCAAAGCACTCGTATATCAGTTGTGATCACGTGACGCTCGGCAGACAATGCGTATACTGTACGTACTGCTCGTTTTGCAAGACCTCGCTCGTTCATCAAATTAATATTTATTTAAAATTTTTGCTCGTCTTGCAAAACACTCGCAGACCAAGTTACTCGCAATCCAAGGTTTTACTGTACATTAAATTCATATAAATCTCTGGTGAGACCTCTCACTTTGGGTCCGTTGTTAAAGACCATTGGCACCACACGGTAAATCTGTAATGGCCGGGTGGGGGGGGGGGGGCTTGGGGGGGGGGCTTGGGGGGGGGGGCAGGGGGGAGGTGCGAGCGGGGTGGTGGGGGGTTAAGCTGACAGTAAAAATGTCAAGCCAAGGCTTGCGTGTGTGCAAAATTCCAACACACGCCGACCTCACTGGAAAACAGGAAAGGGATAGTCCCAGCGAATAAGGTCACATGTTTTGGGGCTCAAGGCGCCCGTGTTGTTCAAGTTATCTCACTGAGCCTCAAGCCAAGGGAAAGTTAATGCGGGGGTGAGAGGGGACTGACATTCGAAGAAAAACGGTCTTTGGATGCAATTCAAACAAAGATTGCGTAAGCCTTCAAAACAAACCACTGTGCGCCTAGGAAATGGCAAGACAACACAGATAGCTTGGGCCACAGATGTATATGTAGTGAGCTCAACTGAGTCGCAGACGTACTCATTGGAGGCAACACATTTATTAACACCAACACACGCGGTAACTGCCCCTTAACAGAATAGCAACCTATGGTGGTGACCACCAGTCTAACTACACTAACTACAACGTAACTGGTGTAGTTAACCAGGTGGTGACCACCAGGCTAACTACACTAACTACAACGTAACTAGCTACAACGGACCGGACCACAGCTTGGGTCCAGGTCCACGTGTTGGAGACTCTGTAGGACGTAGAACGTAGACGAAGGTGATTCTTCAAGATGAACAACAACGCCGGTCCCTCTGGGGGACCCGGCTCATATTCTCTGCGGCATGGATGGCTCCGCTCTTGGCCACGACCACCTTCTGGAATCCTCTAGCAGGATCTGGACCCGACCATGTGACCACCCCAAGCCCCCACTGGGGGGGGGGGGGGCTCTGTAGACTTAACCGGCCATGTGTCCTCTTGGGTCAACCAGAGTGCACGGCCTCCAGTAACACCTTTCCTTTGGCCAGCACTCTCCCACCCGATCCTCTCGTGCTGGCATTGCACGCCAAGCGTGATGCCATCCAGCGCTGACCGAGCCCCTCTAGGGCCGGTACTGCACCCACATCCTAGTGGTGTCCGCGACGTCAATACCCTGCACGCCGTGCCTCTGTAGGCCCGGCATTACACAGTGACATCCGGCGATGTCACTACATACACATGAGTTATTTTCTAGAGTTTTGGCATGTTTATAAGTGCTGCAAAATTTTAAATAAACCTTCACACAACCCAAACTTTGGTATTAATCATTCCGTGGGAAGTACGCGCGCAAGGCTGTACATGAAGTAATTTCCGAAAACATCTCACAAGAGCCGTGAGCATGAACTGTTCACGAGTTCGTGACAAAACAACAGCCTTACTGAGTATTTGTACCGATTCCGTGTTAACATTTGACAGTTGTCTCGTAAAAAGACGAAAAAACACGCTTGTTTTGAGTATGAAATCGTCAGTCCAACACAGTACAACACTGGATCAACTGCCAAAGGCCTTCGCAATAGCTTTAAAATGTAATTTCTCCCCCCCCCCCCACAAAAATAACGCGTGGCAAATTTAACCAAGGCCAGGGCTAACCGCTACTATTCCACTGCAGAATTAGACACGTTAACAATACGTCGATTATTCCGTTAAGATCGATTGTTACGCTCACGATGGCTGCATCATGTCGCGTCCGTAAGAATCGCTAATTTTCAAGTCGGTATGTGTTGTGACAAAGTGTTTGGCGATGCTGCTGCTTGCGTTGGCGGTAGTACACAAACACAGACAACAAATACAAATTCAACCACTGTTTGTCAACGACACTGTGGCCTTAAACAAAACCAGTATATAATAGGTGATGTTGTGGGAAATGCCCCTTCTTCGCAGCCTCTCTATTGCATATGTTTTCTTTTTCATCACGAAACAACACGAGCTCCGAGACACTACGGCCATCGCCATTGGAAGGAGGAACGGAAACTCCGTGAACAGCAACTCCAATTCGGCGTGGCGGGAATCATACGTGGGGGGGAGGGGGGTGGTTTGAACTCGCTGCCCCAGCCAAGTAGGGACCACGCACAGGCCCGGACTGGCCATAGGGCAGCAGTAAATGGGGAAAATGCCCCAGTCGGCCGGTTCAATTCCGAGGGCCGGTGGGCTGGTCTGTATTTGGAAATTGCGAATTTGATCGGAGCAAAACATAGGGTTTTTTTATTGCAATACTTTATCAGCTCTAATGTGTACGCTTCATTGCGTATTTACGCTTTCAGTAGGCATTAAGTCCCCATATATTCGGCAGCCCAAAATATTCTTCCTCACCGGCCCATTTGTTTGCTGGACCCAGCCCCAAATGGGCCAATGAGATCACACGGCAATTTCGGCCCGGTGCGTTTACAAATACCTGGGCCGATTTTTTATTCCCAGTCCATCACTGACCACGCATAGGAGCATGAGGATTTATATGGGGGAGGGGAGGGAAAAGGGGGGAAAGGGGGAAGAGGAAAAAGGCAACTAACATACTGAGGGAAGACCAAGGGCCGGGGAGAGAATGGGGAGAGTGAGGAAAGAGGGGAGGAAAGAAAAACCCTACAAATAAAATAATATACAAGTGGAATATGGGCTCATGCGCTAACCTTCCACCGGTCGTGGGTCCGCCTTCCCGCTCGTTCATGGCTGAGGGGCGCTGCCCCTCTTTACACCCATCCCCACCTTCCGACCTCCTCGTCCCCCGCTCCCCTCGTTTTAGGTTTCGTAGGAAGGGAGACCGAACCTGGTCTCGAACTCCCATTCCACCCCTTCCAGCGTGTGGCTTCAGTAGCTTAATAGTAGCTTGGGCTAAAAGGGGTGCTTCCGCCACTGCTTCCACAAGGAGGGGGGGGGGGGGTCAGGACCTTTTCAGTTAGCCACATGGTCTTCTTTTGGCCGTAATATTAAAGGTTTGAAGTAGAGCGTGTTGACGTTTCGGCAGTGCGTCGAGTTGCATGCCCCACAGAGACGTTTCAACTGAAGGGGTGAGATTGGAACGACAAGACGCTTGTTCAAAAAGAAAGTCAGTCTGCGATCTCCCGGGAGAGTTTTGCAACGTCCGGGTATAGCTAAAAGGTGCATGGGGGTAGGACTGAAACGTACCCCGGGGGACATCTGGGATAATCTGGGGACACGTCCATGATCTTCGCTCTTCTATCATTGGCCATAAGCAGTGGCAAGATGTTCACTACCTCGCCTGGTATACAGGAGGTCGTGGGTTCGATCCTAACCCTGACGCTTGCTGTATATTTGAAGTTTGCATGTTCTCATGGATTTTTTTTTCTGGGTTCTCCAGTATTTCCCTCCGCATTTAGAATCAACGTGCATTTAGAGTATTTGGCTGCTATACATTTCCACATGATAAGGCACTTCGTTGGACTATCATTTGTGGCCAGGTCGCTTCTGAAAAACAGCTATATAGCCCAGTGGACATTACCTGGTAAGATAAAAACAGTTTAATTGTTTTAACATGTTAACATAGGTGCCGCGTATAAATTTGAATTGAATAGGCCTCAGTGGAAACTATCTTGGGCCAAACTGACGGTCTCGCCAGATCTGTCTGCACTTTTGCAAGCGGGCCATAAAGGACAGACACCTGTTCCAGTGATTCCTAGTAATTGGTCCGGTGCGGGCTATACTTTGTGGTTTTAAAGCAGTGTTATTGAGGAATGTGTCGAGTTTATTTTTTTATTTCCCTGTACGTGTTGCTAGAAATTGTTTCGTGTGACCTCTGCAGCCGATGGCATCGTGGGGGCTGCAATTCGCCACGGTGTTTAAAGAAACAAAAAATATACATCCCGTAAAGATTTTCGCAATTGAATGACGACTCCCGAAATCGCGACAATTTATCAAACTCTCAGTCGGGGTGAACTGTTATACGCTTTAATAACATGATGTGAACTCCCAAAAAAATGTCAAGATATATTTTTTGAGTTGATTTATGATTAACCATGTGAGCTGACTTGCGGTAAAACGAGGACTTAACAACTTGATGCAATTCCTACAGTTCAGGAATATTATCAGAGTCAGAATGCGAATATTTATTTCTAGTGGAGGAATCTGATAAGCTATAAAGCTCTTTTTCACAGGTGTCCAGTACAAACACACGATAGTAGTGCAACGTACAAGAAATGTAAAAAAAAATCACCCAAACACAACAAAACCATCCCACATCCTACAAGACAAAGCCCACTGAGGTATTAACTTATTTTTCAGACGCGACCTGACCACAAGTGACAGCTCAACGAAGTGGCCCATCATTTGGACATTCATAGAACCAAAACAATCTCAACAAACCTGTGATGT